AAANAAAAAAAAAAAAAAAGCCACTGGAATGGAGGAAAAGACTACATAAATATAATAACGAAAGAGAGATGGAACAAAATAACTAGGATGAAGTTGTTGGTTGAGGTAATTTTAAGAGAAATAACAATTTACTTTTAATGATATTAACAGATACGATAGCACCACCGCCGAATATCACAATGAAGTACAAAGGTTCATTTATTATTATTCATGTTTCACTTCGATCACAGCGAAAAGATTCAAATATTCGGAAGCTCTTGTACTGCAACGAACTATCAAACTATCACAGTTATAATAACCAGAACATTTTCAACTAGACAATCTACCGGTAATTCATTCCTAAAATCAGAAACTAACATTGACAATTACATCGTTGCTTGGTGAGCACATATACATCATCATCAAAATATCGTTTTCCGCCATAATTTCCTACTGTATGCGGTTCATCAGAACCATATTTCACAAATTCCATCCTTCTTTTCTGCCAGTCCGCATCACCAAGAAACTCGTATTGGCTATCTTCCGAAAATACCGCTGGTGTATGCATATTTGTTCCAGAAAATAGTATGGTACCATGATCAACATCTTTGACCCGCATCCAGGTAAACCTGGAATTTCTTCAGATTCCTGGGAAATTTTGTATTTTTAAGGTCAAAAATTAAACGAATCAGCTTATTTTTGCAGGACGAACCTGCATGCTTTGAAATATTTAAACTATTATAAAAATTAAGCAGAGAATGCACTTACTTGAATCCATTAACGTCCGGTGAGCCACTGTAAATCAGTAATCGAAAACCCCGACTTAGAACTTTGACCGTATTGTCAAAAATAAATAGGGCTTTCATTCCGCCATTTTCTTCCCAAACACGTCCCCAAATAGCAGCAGCACCATCTCCTGGAATCCTGAAAATGAAATCTCTTAAACTTCGTGAATGTTGAATGATGACGGTTACTAATTAACTTTTTGCGGGAGACGAAAAACATCTTTAAATGGTTAATTGCAAATAGTCCTTTCCAAAGTTTGAGAAACTATGCTTTACAAAAGAAGTGAAAAAGGATTAAATAATTATAGAAAGAGCAAAAGGTTGAGGATAAGGTATATATGATTATAGCATAGATTTGTAAACAGATGAAAGGGATAAAACAACGGGGCTCATTTTTAAGTTTTAAACAATACCATAGGGCAACAGCTACGTTTATTGTCGTTGTGCCATCTCGAAGTGACCTTTCAAAGGGTCGAACTGCTTCCTTTGGCATCGGTGCTGATCCATTGACAAATAGAAATGATTGTGGTGGAACTGAATGGCTTTGCTGAAATGATTACACATTGAATCTCGTGGCGATAATAATATGCATTCTAGCATTTTCCGGCATTTTCTCATCCGTAGGAAATTGAAGCACTTTCGGTTGCCTGTACACTTTTCCTAAGCTCCTTCCTCCCTCCCTCCCTCCCCCTCTCCTCCCCTCTTCTCACTACAGATGCTTATTAATAACACATCAAAAGTCATTCTGTTAAGGATTCTCAGTGTGTCCATCAGCATGATGATAAATTCGGAAAGTTATTATCCCCTAAACTATGAAGGTTTCGGATTGTCATGTCCTAAGCAGAGGACTTTTCACTTCCGCTTTTCCCATTCCAGTTTTATCATATTTAACACCCCAAGTTAATTCCCTGTCCAGATAATAATTGCTCAGACAATGCAGGTCCGACCCTCAAATGATTATTAATCTTCAAGTTGGATGATCCTCCTCGAAACTTTGCAAATGCTCTGCAGATTTCATAACAGAAGCATGATGGAAACACTTTGATCAAAATACGAAGCCTTCAGTTAACCAAAATATTTCTTTCCTGAAGTCATCCATATCTATGAAATCATTTCTACGAAAGCCCGGTTTAATAAAATGTAAATGTCTTTTTAAGAAAAACTGAAGTTTATTTTAGATGGACATGGAGATTATTTGTGCTATTTGAACTCAACGAATTATTTTAGTTAATTTTTAGTTAGGCACACCTAGAGACCACCATTCTTTAGTAATTAAAACTAATAAGCAAGCAACCGATGATTAATTTCCGGTCTATAAGTGGACTTTTAGAAGTTTAGAAGGAATTAACACTTCAGATCTCATAAGGAGGTCATTTTGTCGCCGTAGCAGCCGCACCTTCAAAACATTTACCATTTTCATTTTCATGTTATCATGATAAACTAACATAGACAGCGGCCCGTTCAGTACGAACAAAATTGAGTAGCTGTTGATCGCTGCTGCAAACTGTGGACAAGACCAAAAAAATGAGCTCACGGAAGTATGTGATCATCTCCAATCAACGGTAAACATTGCAAAGCGATAATCTCTGATTGTTTCTTCTAGCTCTTTTTCCGATTTCAATATTTGATCAATTCTCAAAAATTTGTAAAATATCCAAAGAAAAGCTCCACTCACAACGTTTTGGGATCGGAACCAACATTGCCTCGTGACTATGTACGGCGCTAATATTCAGTTACAGTTTCAGAACAAATTTTTAAATATAAGATCCGGGAAGATTACCATTCCAATAGGTAACTATTAACGAAATTTAATTTTAAATATTAAATAACTGATGGATCCGCCACAAATGGCAGGTATCTAGTTGTGTCCGAGAAGATCACTGAGCGGCAACGCAAAGAATTATACCGTTATTTAAATTTTTCACTGTTCAATAGTACAACTTTTCACCGCTCAATAGGATTTTATTTTCCATATAGTACATTCTTAGCCATAACAATTCTTTTTCAACGAAATGTTCTGAAATTAAAAATTACTTATTCCTTTTTCAAAGAAGAAACAATGGAGAAAGTCATACAAAACAACATTTAGCACCAGTTGTTCGTTTCATTTTTATATGATAAACGTTGCTCGAATTGCTGAGAAAAATTAAAACATAAAAAAAAATTAATTTCCAAATTAACAAAAATGGACCAGGACAAATGGATGACTGCTGTGTATACAACAACATTTTACGAAAAAAATTCTTAAAAATGTTTCAATTACTGCTTAATATGTTGCATGTAAGTGCAAGCTATCAAAAGCGATAATTTTAATTTTTTCAAAAAACTCACAATATCCTAACCAATTTGATATTTGAAAAATCTCAGGTATTGTTAACGCCTCAGGTATTGTTAACGTGTCCCCAAATTCGATGCTATTTCAGACCTAGAAGTGGGCAAATGTGTTGGGAAAGCATTGGATATGCATAAAACATTCCGATCAAATATAATTTTATATTGTTCAAGTTGCATTTAATAAAGCATGCATATACTATAATTACCGCTTCATGGGATATGTATCTAGAATTTCTACTGGGCTTACTTCATCTTACCCATAATTCATTAACCTAACTGTCAGTTATTTGAATAGTTTAAAATTCAGAAATGAATGTGACCTCCAGCATCGACCAAAGAGTGATTCCGGAGGGTGTACAGCAGCCAGTAATGGCGGCAAACGTTCACATTATGCACAGCGGAAGTGATGAATGGAGGAATAGGCCAACTTAACTGCTTATAAAGGTGTTTAGCATAATTCTAAATGAGATGAAGAAAGCTCAATGTGATTAACTGCTGCTGAGGAAGATGAAAAGTGACAAATTAGTACAAAACAAAGGGGAATAGGACAGAAATGTAAAACAGGAAAAAAAAGTTATGTATATACGATTTCGTCCTCTTATTTGTCAAATTAAAAGTCTGCCAGTTCATCTTAAGGATAGCATCGGACGACAACTTTTTTTATAATACTTTTTTCCGTCTTCGTGAAAACAATGTAACCGTTAATGCGGTAAGCACTATTTGATCATTTAACAAACGTAATTTACGGACTTGATAGCGATGTCATGATCCACATTGTTTGAACAATCAGCTTAATTTACTCGGTTGCATTAAGTATTGCCCTACAATTTCTTGCTCAATGAATTGAAACTATCGATTATTCATAATGTTAATACCGCATTATGATCAAGAATCTGAGTGGAATTTTCGGGAAACTCAATTGGTTTGATCAAACTATGAGAACTAGGAAAACGGATGGCCAAATTTAAGGCTAGCTGGGCTAGCTAAGACAGGATATATTTTTGAAGCTCGTCGATTATAAATCTCAAAAAAAAAAAAAAAAAAACCTATTAATGCTATTAGTGGATGAGAGCGAAAAAGAGGATATACTGCTGCCTCGTAACTCGTTTTCAGCAAAACCACTGGAAAAATTGCACTATTTGGAGGTGAGAGAAATCAATGTTAAAATACAATCAAAAATATAAATCACATCTTTTACTTCGACTAGAGGTTAAAGGTCAGTCTTTGAGTTATTTCACCAGGCATAAAATACTGAAAGGGACGGTTGCATGTAGTGAGTTATGACACTTTTCTGTCTCTTTCTATTTGCACTTTCTCGAATTTGTCACAATGCTCAGAATTTTCTCTCAGTGTTACAGTATACCTTTAAGAGAGTAATGACAATAACTATAGCGATTAACAATTATAAGCCCAATCATGGATACCACCAAGGCTCGACTGATATGTTGAGCAATGATTCTGGATATTTAGACCAAAACTGGACTATAGAAGCCTAGCTCCCACTTATTGACAACCTACCAAAATATGACTCAAACGAAGTGGTCTATGCGGAATTGACGGCAGCATGAGATTCTCTCCGAAGATATGCCGCTTATGCCATATTCTGTATGGAAATACTGTCACTAAATGGTCAAGCAGCACTATCCAGCAATATTACTGTAATAATAATATCAACTAAGAGAGAGAGAAAGAGAGAAGGGGAGAGAGAGACTTTATTTCTGTGGAGCAAATAAAGCGCACCAAACCACTGCATGAGACGTTAAACAGTTAAGTATGAAGTGCAAATATTCAATAGAAACTGAACTTATTGAAAATCGGAGTCAAATTTTAGAGATTCGGGATGATCAAGCGAATACACACAATACATCATCTCAACGGCACAGTTTGGATGGAAATGAAATGAGAGTTGATTGTATTCGTCATCGCATCCCATTGTCGCCCTTACAAACAAACATTTAGGAAATCATTTTTGTCAATAGCAACCTTCACTGTGGAGATACCACTCGATATATATATATATATGTATATACACACGCATGCACACATATACGTACATACATACATACACAGACACACATATACATACGTATACATACAGTCTGGTGCAACTGATGCAATTTGGGTGATGATGTTTGTACAATGCAGATGACTAAGCAGCAGGTAAGGAAGGCTGTCAGTCTGTTGAAGACGTGGAGTGGATGGTGATGTCACTGGTTTCAGTTTCATCTTCAAATGAACTCCACTGTTTACCCAGTGAAGTGGACATCGGTGGCAGATTACGGGACACTTCATGGAATAATCGACAGATACTTCATTGTATCAAAGTGGAAGGATGAATACGAGGAAGTTCAAACAAAAGACACAGAAAAACATGCCTAATACAAAATCATTTTGTTCAGATTTGAATTGCAAACGCTGGGAAATAACTTCGCACTTCAAAAATTTCGAAAGTCATAGTGATTTATCCCATATTTTCTTTCTACAAGCATTTGAGATATTTTAAAAATGCTTGGAATTGTGAAGATGAGGGAAGTATTTCGGGAAATTCGGCAGATACTCTTAGATCATACTGTTCCGGTCCGTTAACACACCCCATCAACTGTGGCAAAAATTTATTGCTCTACACAATATAAGTCGTTCTACAGTTCGTTCTATAAATAATGACACTTTTCCCCTTCATTCAAGTTCTTTAAAACATTGGCTGACAACCGGAATCACTTAATTCACTTAATTGGCAAACTGTGTTTAAAAAAAGAATTGCTGAAAAATGACTGCATCTTTTGCAGACTGTCATCCATTCATATATTCCCATCATTTAATCTGTTTTTGTTTCAATAATAAAGAACAAGCAAGAATTGATATTACGAATGCGTCTTGAAAATGATTGTCAAGTTTTGGACAAAAATTCCACGGATGATATGATCATTCGAATTCGTTAATCTCAAAGCAGAGACTAAATTTTGATTTGATACTAACTAATGAAGATGCTAATAGGAATGAAACTATAAGCCAATTTAAGACAACATGGGCCTGGATGAACAGTATATTGATGATGGATAAATCCAGTTCAGTTGAATCTTCAAAATCCGTAGCATTTTTAAAAAATTTTATTTTCGATAATAGACCCTGAACGATACACTTCCTTCTGTCTAATACTGCGCACCTTGCTATAGTTAGGAAATTGCATTCGTAGTCCAGAGTTCCATCATTTAACAGAGTGCATTGAAGTAATCGTTATAAATCCGCAAAGCCTCAAATCCTTGTCCTTCTTTGGACTCTGAGAAACAGAAGCGCAACCTAACATCAGTGAAATATTAGGAAGGGCGAATGAGCAACAAAACTATGCTTCGCGGTGAAACCAAAAAATGTTTTCGGAAGCATGAACAGCAGTTTATTTATGCTATTCATCCAACATGAAAAAGAAATAATACTAAATACTATTTCAGAAAGAATGGAATTGAAGAACGACTCCTCAATATTTTTTTTGCTCGTAGTGATGGTTGAAATCTAAAAAAAAAAAAACAGTTTTGTCGCAGTAATTCTTCAATGAAGATATTTTTCCAAGGTAAAGAAATTTCAGAAACATGTCTACAAATGAAACACAAGCATTTGAGTATAATCAACGCCGACAAAGCTTGTAAAAACTGACCTGAAAGCGTTCCCGAATAAAATATATATTTTGCCTTCCAGTGCAAAATGAAATACGGTATCTTGCTTTGGAATAGCTTAAAACATAATAATTAAGCAAAAAATTGAAGAGGAGAAAATTTCGAAACAGAAGGGACGGAAATGAAATACGGAAAAGAAAAAATGAAATTTTGTAAAAACAGACAAGTTTGAAACGAACTTAGCAAGCGATTTTCTTTTGTGATCAGCATGAAGGTTTGCCTAGTTTCACGAGTTACAATGCCACAAATGCCAGCCTAGAATGTATTAGTAAAAATTTCTTGCTGTTCCATTATTTGAAGATACGAATGTCGCAAATAATTCTTTTAATTTCACATAAAGATACTCGAATTTTCGTGATAACGACAAAAATACCTGCGCTGGATTAGTAGCTTCAGCAACCATAAGCAGACATCCATGATAATCGGCTTTCAATACTCGAGCATCCCACTGACCATCGGATCCATCAACTAGGGAACTAAAATAGTCACACCACAATTCATAGAGTGGTTCGAATTGCGAATACCTGAAAGTGAATCAATTGAATTTACATTTCAATGTTATTATAAAGCTCAAATCACAGTTTTCGGCATTGCTGTTATAATTCCAGTTTTTGTGACGGCTGCACCATCTAAAAATTATGAACAATGTAAGTGTTGCAAGACCAAACTATTCTTTCCAGCGAATCAGCCGAACGCGACCCAAGACCAAACTATTCTTTCTAGCGAGTCGGCCGAACGCGACCCAAAATTAAACTGTCCAGAAAAGATCCTATTTACATGCATCTTCCTTAAAAATTACATCAGATTTACGAAGAGCTCCTTGACTGCAATTAAGAAATACAAAGAATTTAAGGAAATACTTCAAGTTCTTCATATCGCTCTTGAGAACTCTTCTCATAAAATTCTCCATGGGTTGCCGATGAATCTTGATTTCCTTCTTAATTCGTCTTTCCAAAATGAAAATTTTATGCGGATTCACTTGTTCAAATGAAGTAGAAGCTTTAGCATTCATTTCCCGAATTTGGAAGCCAATAACCAAATTATATCTGAAATACCAGCGCAGCATAAAACAGATCCACAGATAGACTTAACAACGCATCTAGAATCGAATATACAATTTTTGAAACACTTTCGAAATATAAAAACTTCAAACCCCAAAGACACTTGTAAGAGCCATATATCCACTTAACGACAAAGAACATTAAGTAGAATGTTCCAATGAAAATTTGACCTACCTCGATTATTTTTAGAACATCTTAAAAATTTTATCTTTGACCAAATGATATGATCACCCCATAAATCACGTAAGAATGAGCAAATACGAAGTAGCAGTGATCCAACGACCAAGCAACTTGATTTCACAAGTGAACCAAACGCTACTTAGTGCACTAAATACATTGAAGACGGGGTATAACAGCCGACGAGAAATTTTCAATTAAATTTTATTTTCTGTTTTATTGCAGAAAAACAATGAAGCTGACTGGAAATATAAATAGGAACCAATGTAAAATAATAAATACCAACTAACAATTACCACTCTTTTTAACATCAAATATTCTAAAAAAAAATCGGCATAGTTTAAAAAAAAAGTCATCAAGAACAAATGCACAACTTCTGAGAGAACCGCTACCAGATATCACATTTTTTATAACCTGTCTTCAAACAGAAGAACTCCGAAGATTCAAAAATTCCCAGATGTAACTGAAAGCTGGTGTATAGCAGATAAACATTAAAACTATTTTTGAACTTCATTACAAAAATCAATGAGAAAAACGAGATTAAATGCTCCCCAAGTTTATCAGGAAATTTTGTTTCTAACTTTTACAAATGCATGTACTAATCTCAAAAATTTTGAACTTTCCCTGATAAATAAAGTAAGATATAAAGTAAGGTCAAACTCAGCAGAAAAAACGGTTAATATGAAGTTTGATATCGAAAAGCTATGCTAGATACCTTAAGTAAGGTGGTTCAAAACCAAAAACTGATGATAAATTAAAACACTGTTCCTATGAACACAAACAAATGCTTGTAAATAAATTATAGTATAAATAACGATAAAAAGATATGAAACAAAAAACTTCACAAAAATACTTGAAAAGACTAGATACGAAATATCATAGTTTATATGACTTCAAATAACTGGCCGACTACGTTTACGAGCTATTGCTTCTTCAACACATTTCAACTGACGTAACAACTCAGCACGCCGCTCCTCTTTTTCTGCTTCATTATCCATGTAATCGTCATCTCAAATAAACAGAAAATGGAAAAAAGGAAAAAAGAATTATGAATAACGGTATCATTTATAATTTCTAAATTCTCTATATAAAACATGGGAAATCATAACACACCATCAATCCTTGACTCATTATACTCTGCGATTGCTTTTTTCGAAGTTGGTCGTGAATTTTCAATCGATGAAATTTTCTTTGACTGTTGCGCAATCGGTTCGCGTACAGAAGTGTCGGAGGCATTCTGAAGTAACACTTTCAAAGCCCAAACAGAAATTTCGTTAAAAGAAGGAATTACATGTTAGATATTTGTTAAATATCAAAGTGATTCTTCTTCCTCATCTTGACATTGCTTTTCATTATAGCGGATTAATCCTCTAACACATGTTCTATAAATAGGAACAAGCAAGCTAATGTTTCACCTCATCTTCATCGCTCGAAACATCTTCTGCTGCAACCTCCGGGGATAACGGTATTCCTTCGGTAGGCAAACCGTCATCAACTTTTTTTTGAGGCGATACGCGGCAGGCTCTGCATCATCACTACTGCTACTTGAGCTCCTTCAATTACCACCATAAGCTTTGATACAATTGTTTACAATCCATATTGAAGAAAAACTACTCAAATGATTCACCAACAAATACTAGAACGGTTTTTAATTTAACCACTTTTTTGAGACATATAACTTGTTCAGCAAAGAGCTGCAGCCTAAATCATGCTTTCGCTGTAGTTATAATTACTCATCTTCGATAATTCCAAGATCGCTGTTTTTCAGTAGTGTTTTTCTGATCACGACGGACCCATTTAATTGAACAATTAATAAAAAATATGATTTGCTATTCGCAAATTATAAAACAGAAATTTATGGTATTTGTAACACTTCTGGTATACACGTATCAAAATCTTCAAATTTAAGAATGAAAGATGCTGAACACTATTTAGCCACTGATACGGACTAACCCAGAAGTGCTCGATGAACTTTCATCACTTGACATATCATCTTTTCTTGCGAGCAAAACATTGCGTTTATGAGCTTTATCGGTACGACCAGTAACTCCTTTCACTCTTTTTATCCCTCGCTGCGCAATTCCAGGGCGAAATGATGGAGATAAAGAGGGTCTGAACTTACTGCTGGATAATAAGCAGCAAATAACAAGTTAATTAACAACGAGCCATCCCGAGAAAAAGGTTAAAAGTAAAAATGAGAATTCTGAGGGACTTCCTAATTTGATCAATGTTTTCAAATTTGATTTCATAAAGTGAGAGATTAAGAAGAAAAGACATAGAATGAGGAAAATTGTAATTAGTAGGATGAAGAATAAAATGGGCAAGAAATCATTTGGAAAAGTCTTTCAAGAATCACGACTGAACGGAAAGGAAACCTAAGCTTAGTGTTAGTTAACCATTTCTTGTTAAAATTTCAATCTTCAAATTGAATCATTCAAGACAAACTTCGCCAATAGCACCACAATGCATTTTCCATTATATAATGAAGATAGTAGTAAGAAATCCATTTTCCCATCATACGCTTTGCGTCATTCGCTTTTCTCCCACTTCGAAACTTGTACATTTGTTATACCTAGTTAACTATTCCCGTTCTTTTTTCATTTTTACTTTTAACCTCAAAATTTAACCTTTTGAGCGGGTTAGAAGATGAATACCGTTTGTTTTGATTGCTCGTCCGCTCGAATGAACGCACACAGCTACGAAGAGCGACTGTATTAGAGCGATGCACTGACTGTACCGGAGAGGATCTGCAAAAGAGTAAACTTAGTTACATCAGTCACTTCAAATTAATACATGTTCATTTATAATCAATTTTCAGTTCCACTCCAACTTCATTGCATTTAATATAATTACAAAATTAATCGCAACACTACTGCACACACCTTTCATAATCAGTACAAAACTGAAATTAAATTATGAAAGTTAGAATAAAACCTCTTCTTCTTTGGGATACGAAAAGACGAAAGGTCTGTTGCTCTTAACGATCCATCATCGTCAATTAGATTTCTGGAAGCAACAGCAGATACCAACGAGAAACGGAACGTCGACTGATGACGGCTTCCTGAGGATGCTCGTGAATGTGATCGAGAACGAGAAGTTACTGATGAGCCTGCACTTGCACTTCTAAAATTAAAAAGATAAGCTCAAAAGAACTCGCTTTGGTAACATGCAAAGATTTTAGACAAATTTTAAAATGAAAAGTATTCGAAAAAACGCCAGAAACATATCACTTCATATATCTATATTTTATAATGAAAACAAAAAAATGAAATTTTGTTTTCCACGTAAATTTTAACATAAAGTTTCAAAAAACCTTCTTGAAACACTGCTTGCTGAGCTAACAGTGTCTTGACGACATATCTGCTTCTTGTTATCACTTATTCGGCGAGTTTTTTGGAGTTCTGCTCCAAGTGTTAAGGATATCAATTCTCTATCCTTGCTTCGTCCTTTTTTGTGTGATCTTTCCCATGGATCATGAATCTGATCACCAGCTGGAATCTGAGAGTATTTTCAGCTGAATTCAAATCACATTACGAGTTTATTCACTTTCCATTTTTTAACTGTGTTCTTTTCAAATTCATTGCAACTGTGCCATATCGAACACTTCCAAACAAATTTACAAGGTCTGTACAATTTCATGCATGGAACTGAATTCAAAATGACAATCATACAAATCGAAGAATTATTTCTAGCAAAAAATCTAACCTGAAAGAAGACCACCCACAGCACATATGCTATTTCGTTTTCTATTAGCTTCTCGTTTATCTACTAATAGCGATGAACCGTGCCTTTTTTCTTGAGGCGAAAGAGAGCGACGTAGACTAGGTGACCGGGAATCTCGTGGTGTTCGAGAAAGTGGCGAACGAGGGCTACGAAATGGAGAACCGCGCCGTGATATGCGATAATGCCCATTCGGCGATCTGAAAGAAACAGATGAGATGACGTGCAACATATAAGCAGTAATGTTATTGTTAGCTCTATACAATTAAATACAGTGATATTAATCCAAAAGTATAGACTTACACTTCACGTCTCGGAGGAGGTCCGTGACGTCGAGAAGTTGGCCTTCCATTCGGGTACAGAACTTGTGGTCCAAGATCTAAACATTTATGCTTTACTGATTGCAGTTTTTGCAATCTAGAGAAACAAAAATAATGCAAATACCAACCTTTAGGAGGCAACCGAGAAGATTCATCGCGTCCATAGTCATATCCTAAATAAAAATGATACTTGTGAAAATGACACTTGTTTCCAATTATAACTGTATAGGATGGACAATATAAGCTTCGAAAAAAACAAAAAACCAGAGCAAAATATACTTTTTGAAAATTCGAAACGCCTGCCCTCGAGCATAGTGTCTATCAAAGATGGAATTTTTCGAGGCTTTACTAATTCCTTCCTTTCACATACACCACGACGTTCTAGCTCAAAATGATGACTTTCTGAAAAAGGTGAAGAATAATAAGGAAAGGATAACATAAAGTAGGAAGGAAAGCTGGGAAACAGATAATACCGAGTTATAATAAGCAACATATTAATTAAAACGTGTGTTTGGAATAAAACATCTAATATAATCAGGAATCAGTAAAAAAAAAAACGTATGTATGTTTTAGCACTCCTTACCATTAATATTGTCAGGTTTGACCAGGTTATCGTATTTCCTAAGCTTCGGACAAGGAATGTCAACATGTGTATGTAACATGAAACCATTTGATCCTCTTACAATGCCTCGATATAATGGCGATCGCGATGTTCGGTGACTTTAAAACAACTCATACAATAAAACTACAACAAATGAATGTTTTAATTAAATGATTTTTTCAATATATTACATATTCAATATATTACATTTTTTCAATATATATGAAACCATACAAAACGTTCCCGTCTTACTACGATATAAATAGTAAAACATTACTGCCTCTCTATTTCAGAGCATTATCGTACGATACGAAACTTATAATATGTGGAAAAAATATTCAAAAACAAACAAAAAGTTCAGATTTCATTCTCAACAAACAGCAACTATACATTTTACGATGTCCACGAGAATCGTCTGATTCTTCATCCGTTGTTCGTGGTCGATCCATATCTCCACTAGGTGCAAGTACCAATCGCTTCCGATCAAAATCAGGTTCTTCTTCTCGTTTTTTTGATGCTTTTATCATTAACTGGATAATATATATTTTAACCAGATCATATTTTGAGTCTTTTGAAAAAAGCAAATAAATAAAATATAAACCAAAAAATGATAACCTACTTCACGCGCCTGACGTAATCCTTTCTCCCACGCTGTTTCGTCACCGTTTGACCCCTCATTTTCGTTCGATGTTGAACTAGACGGGTAGACGGTAAATGCACTGATGCCAACTGAAATGACAAAAATCCAAGAATCCATATCCGCTCATTTCAACTAGCTAAATAATTGAAGCGATATATACTTTTTGCTGAGTAACCTTAGTCTAAAATCCCGTCTGACACTGAACAAAACATTTATGACTTACATGATAAACTAAAGTCTAATGCAAAACATACGTTTGCATTCTCTGCTTCTGCTTCTTCTTGCTTTGTTAATATTCGAGCGCTGTGAGTGAGTACTTTCATTTGATGAGCTTTGTACTGGTACCGAACCATCAAGTCGTGGCTAAATTCGATAATTGTATTTATTTATAAAAGAATAGTATATTCATTTGCGTGATAACCTAAGCAACCAAATAATTAGATATTTTTGTTGAGTGCTAAGGAAAATTCCCCACTTCTACGAATTTAAAACTAAGTCATATTTAGGCTCAGATATGAATTACTTTGTCAGTATGTCAAGCTTTCTACGGCATTTCGTTTCCAGTATCTCATTGGCACAAATATACTAAAACGAAAGGTACACTTCTTTATTATTTTACACTCTTTGGTACCTCTTTCATATGCAGGTATTTACAGTCTGGTCCCCATGTACATGTCCCACGAAGATAAAATTTGCAAATGCCAACCGATGCTGGATCGTCGCGCCACGAACGATGCGGTGAATGTTCCAAAAGTTTTCCACGATTCCGGTCCACCTGAAAACTTTATTCAAATTTAATTCAAACTGCAAATAAGATCACTGTCTATGTGTAATCAAAAATACAGTAGAAATGAAAAAGAAGCTTGTAGAAATGAACATTTTCAAGACAGTAATAGTATCTGTCACAACAATGCCCGTCAATGATCGCTTTCACTTTAGCATTATCTTATTTCACCTCGAAAATTTTGCGCAAACGATTAGTTTCAGCGGTCCAAACCTTCTTTGACCACTTCGGAGGTCGGTTTGAAATTAACAGTATCAAATGTAAGACGCTGAATTCCATTGCAGAAATGCAAAACGGTTTTGAGGCTGAAGGATAATGCATAAAAAATAATGCAAAACTTACCGACCTACGAGTCGACTTTTCATTTGAATTTATAGAACCCGTAATACTATCTTCATCAGATTTCAATTCGCCTTCTTCCAAGTCATCGATTTCCCCTTCCTCACTTAGTTCACCCTCCACTTTTTTTCCTGTGTTAACTGCGACTTCATCAGTTCTGTTTCCAATATGGTGAACTCCAACACTGACAGCAATTTGCTTTACAAACTCTCCGTCATATTCATTTCTATCAGTATCATCCGACACGCCGTTTCTAACCACTGAAACCTGAAAATATAATTCATATGAAAATAAGGAGCGGAGCAGCTTTTCAATGCTCCAAAAAATGAACATTCATATCAACTAGCGAATCCTGAATAGATAAAATACATCGAAAAATACTTCAGATTGCTCCTCAACCCGTTCCATTTCCTCGTTATCTCCATTTTCTTCATCATAATCCAATTCAGCATCAATATCGGATTCCATAGCAAGATTACTGCCACTACTCCACAATTCTCTTCCTGCATATGAATCTTTATAAAGAGCATGATATTGTTCCATCCATAGATGAAAAGAGAAACTTAAGACTCAAAATATCTATCAAGACTTTGCACCCTTTTAAACTCGTTCCTTAAATATCCTTTAAACAATTAAACAAGTAGAATAACGCGATTTAACAGAAGGCTAAGTACCATTGGGATTGCTCTTTGCTTTGAGTGTATTTTCATCGCCACTTTCCGAACTACTCGAAATATCGACGCCATCCATGACGTTATGGAAGCTAGAAACAACAGTAATTTTAGTGTCGCGAAAATGGTAAGCTAAATAATTTATCCACTTCAGTGGTCACTGGCAAAAGCATTCGGCGAATCTGAGTGGGAAAAAGCACCAATTGCTTCGAAGGTGCAACATGTATCGCTAGTGAAATTTTACAGAAAGGTAGTTTTAAATAGTGAATAAATATGCAAATGCGTTGCAACAGGGTGTAGCGACATTTTAGGACTGTTTGGGTAAGTGGGACAAACTGTGGACTTTTTCATCCAATTTATTTTTGTTTTCAGTTTAGGGAATCCAAGTCCTTACTCATTGAATACTTATTAAATGTAAAAAGTTAAGCCCTAAAGTCCTTCGAAACTGTCTCCGATCTGACAAGTTACTTTCTTAACCATAAATCTTAAAGGTGATCTCAGCTTTATGCTCAACTTACAGCGCTGCCCATGAGCTTATTCCCATCCCATACAATCTTACCACATTTCCACTCATCCATTAACTGAGTCCCAAATGCTCTCATGCAGCCTTCAGACATACAACAAATTCACATTAGCTGTAGTTAGCTCGCTGATTTGCTATATTAAAAGAACAACGATCTACCTTCATAGGTAATATTCAGCATCAAGTGGTGACAAGCTGGAAGTCACTTCAAACATTGAATTAAATATGTTAAACTAGAATTCCCACGTATACCCTAATAAATCCAAATCGACATCTTAATGCAGCGGGATGGGGACGATAAGGAAACATGGCGAGAGAAGTGTTGAAAGAGAACTATCCTGGTCATGAGGTGCCTCGGTCAAGCAGTATCTAGCATAAGGTCAGTCCTTGCACTGTGATAGAGGCGCTAACAGGAGATGACGGAGCGGTTTTTAAGCACCACAAAATAGAATGCTCAATGTACTTACATGCATGCGATAAATTGGAAAGGATGTATTAATGTGAGATGTTATTACCGTCATGGAGAGCCTTGGCCAGGACGGGTACGACAGTGCGAAAATGAGAGAGGAAGACTTGTCGGTAAAGGATGGAAGGAAGCAGGTTGACAGAATTCGAGTATAAGTTGATAATAAAGCCTAATAAATCATAATCACTGGAATTATCACAACCATACATCACCGTCAAGCAATGACAATCGATCGATACCTCCCAGGAGGATGGATTATCACCGGAAGAAAAGCACACGTGATGCAATTACAGGACTGGTAGGGGTAAATTGTCGAGGTGTCATCCGGCGACTTCAGGAGAGGTGGAGGTGTGTATACGACGCGCTCCACTCCATCCTCCAAGACATACCGGAGGTGGCTCCGGAGAAATCAATAATGGATATAGTTGGCAATGGGAGCCACAACGTCCACATGTCATCCACACAACTCTTTGCAGACAAGACCATTGCCAGCTCGCCCTGCCACTATCGATCACTCTTCCCCACCTACACAACCCTCACGTCCTATTCCTCTCTACATCTCCTCTCCATCCCTTCTGGCGCACATACATACATACGCATACAACTAGCGCACAGATGCCCCGCCCACGTACTTCGGACATTCACCCCCCACCCACGCGAACAGCGGTATGGACAAGCAATGCACAAAAAGTTGCTGAAAGGCAAATTAGTAGAGGAGAACTGACCGCATGAATTACTGTGGTAAGCATAAGTAGACAGAGAACGGATCTGAATTCCTGTCTCTCCAGTATGAGGTGCAGCTTTTACCCGTCGCTTATTCCAACTGAACATTACCCACAAATCCGGCCTAGACAATTTTGAACTTCAAGCTATCAAAAAATGGCATATTTGGAGAAATGAATGTTACACACTTCTTCATTTTTTTCTTCCCAAACTACTGCAGTTCGAATCAGTATGTACTTCCGGCCCACCACTTTCCGGAAATTATAATTATTCTATTACCTGTTTTTCACAACTGAGTATATGAACAGTTTTCTTTCTACACTTGTTTTGACTACATTTTTTACAGATGAGCGGGGTCGAGGACTTTCGTGACGAAGCAAATCTATTACCGAAATACTCTGGGAGTATCCATAAAGAAATTCCATAAAAAAATTTTCCATAAATTTTGGTAAAAATACCTCTGTATTTTACAATGTTTCACATGTCCCACAGACTGCTTTATTTGGAGCGCCAATTTCCATAATGTTTAATCAAATTCATATCAAAACAAATTGTGGGTCATAGAATTACCCAAAACCGACGTGAACGATTTTCGTTTTTCTCAATCACACGCTTCCAATTTTGTGTTAAAGATTAAGACTAAATAGAACGTACACCATTCATTGAAACAAACTGAGTTCTTTAACCCAAAAAACCAAGAGGGTGATGGAGTAATGCGTAAATATGTGTCCCATTTTGGGGAGGACGTAGTGCTACTAATGTATGAATGTTTTAGACGTTACGCCAAGCATAATGACATTAGAAAATAGGCCTTCGGTACAGAAATATGAAATGAATGTTTCAGCACAAAAAATGTCCACAATCGTGAAATTACAGTAATGATTTCAGCACGACATAAAAAATTCATTAGACCCGGTAAAAGCCATGAGATCTTGAGTATCAGCTAGATAGTGAATGTTCGTTCAAGTAAAGCTCGATAATCAGAAAGTAAGAAAAATCAATCCTAATTGTAGGAATCTGATCGTGTGCAGAGTATCAATGCATTAGACTCTGAAATTATTTCCAATCAGTTTTTGCAACGAATGCATTCATTAACAAAAACTATGGACAACTAGGAGTACTTCCTTTCGAGAAGGAGATTCCTGATAAGGGGACTGTTCCGTGTTCCGGAAGCCAGGACGACCAGTATAGATTAATTTTACCAATCAGGATAGATGTAACTGCTAATTTAGGTGCCGAAACGAAGGTAACTTTTTAAGGTAATGATGACCAGAAGCTTGGATTGCCTACCTTAGTAAGTTAAGTAAGGTAGCCAGTTCACTTTTCTTTCGTTTCATTCGAAAGTTTATCACTTTTGCATGGTACACCTAAGATTGAAATTTTCTTTCGACGAGCTCCTTTCATACCCGTTTTTCGAACAAATAGATATGGAGGACCTCTTCAGTCATACAAAAGAGATTTCTATCTTCGGCTGTGTGACCCATGTCGGTCAGTCCCTTCTTTTCTTGTAGTGCCTATTGGTAATTCGTCATCACGAACAGTGACCGACATTCTTCAGGATGAAACTGAAATATATCAATCGCGAATTTTTTATTGATATCAGTACCGTGGGAGAAATAACTACTAAATAAGTCAGATATTTGTAGCTGCAAAATTAAGACCGTTTCTAACAGTTAAAAAATGTTGCTCTGGTTAGAAATAAAACGGCGTTGTTTGTCGGATGACCGAGAAATTTCCCAATATGTTGAAGCAAGCAAAGTATTTGTTGTTTAGAAAATTTCCTAAAGTAATGAATCAGTTATCTACTTTTTATAAAATCCTTGCCTCAGGATTAATCTCGTATGTAAATTACTTATACACAGCTGTTGGAATATTGTAAAGATCTTGTATGCATCTTATATCCCGCTTCGTTTATGTAATTCACACCTTCTGTGTAAGAGTTTATCCTCTCTATCAAAGTGATTCTTTTACTCAGTTGGATATCAATTCGACATCCGTAAGTTCACTCTTGAAGCAGATTTATTTTGGTGCCTTATTTTTGCATCCTTCTTAGACAAGTTTAGTACTACAACCCTTTCTACATATTCTCGTATTATTATTTTGCCGGTATAATAATAAACCTTACTATTAATTTTATTGTACCGGATTGCTATTGTGTTGTCACCAAAGGGATTCACGTAAACTTGCCTTCATCTCAGTGATTTTATTTCTCTATTGGCCATCTGAATGAAATGTAGAAACCAGAAGCTGATCAAACAAATATGCAACTCACCTCAACCCTCTTATCGCTCAATTTTCTCTTTTTTTTTAGGTGAGGTATGATAGCCGCTAGTATAATAGCAAGTATCCAACCTGCAAAAGAAAGATTAGAGAATCTTCTCTATGAAGCAAAAGCGATGAATATGAAACTGCCGGGACAAAGTTTAGTAGCGGAAAAATGACACGAATTTTACGAAGAAAATGATTCATCGAAGAAAAAATTCTGCGAGTTGAAATATGTAATAATACGCTGGAATCTGCAAATGACAAATGATTCGAATATATCCAAAGGGCTATAACGACAACAAAAAGAAAGGAAGAGCAAAAATACGGCGGAACCACAAAGGGAGACAAAGGAATCTTCGCGCTAATTCATGAAAAGAAGCGGTTATCACCTTAACCATATACAAGAACGAAATCGACCAAGAGCTAATGCGACTGTCACAAAACTCAAGCTTGCTTCAAGAATGAAGTGCGGGAGGTTGCAGATATCGAATTGATATCCAACTGAGTAAAGGAACCACTTTGTCATTAACACCCGCTATATAAGTTCCTATCACTTCTATAGGAACTTATATAGTGGGTGTTAATTACATAAACAAAGTGGCATATCAGATACAAGATCTTTACCATATGCCGACGGCTGCGTATAAGTAATTTATTAGTATACGAGATTAATCCTCAGGCAAGAATTTTATGAAAAGTATATAACCAACTCATCACTCTAGGAGATTTCCAAACAACAAATACTTTGCTCGCTTTAACATATTGTAAAATTTCTCGGTTTTCCGACACCGTAGTCGTGATAGCTTTTTTCACTAAAGTTATTAAAACAATATAAACACTACCAAAAATTTGATTGACAAGAGAAATACTTGGAAACAAAAGCAAAGTATGTTTTAAAATTACGACAAAAATCTAGCAAAAACATTTGAACTATATCAATTCTGAACTTAAAAATACACTATCGCCTTATCTTAAAACTTCTGTTTTCGACGCTTTTAGTCCTCAGTCAAACTACTCCCTTTAATGCAAGAGATGATTTGGATGTCAGATCATCTCTTGCATTAAAGGGAGTAGTTTTTTTTTAAGAACAAATGTCGAAAAATGACCATTCCGTCCTAAGGATACATACAGTACTGTTGTATAACACAGAATTCATTGTCGATATCATTCGTTCAACAACATTTCTGGCATGAACTTCATTTTATTGAAGTGTCGATTCATTTTATTGAAAAGGCCAATATGAATGTCATATCAAGGAAGGTCATTAAACAAAATACACACCTTAAGTAGCCATTAATGAGATTATCTTACAAGGAACGAAGAATTAACAATAAATACTTATGCTTAAATCGACAGACTAACTTTACGTATGAATGCCTGATTAATGTGCTAAGCCTTTACGTTACAGCCTCGATAAGATGAGACTCAAAAATGCGATTAGAATTTCAAGTTTTATCAATTCAATGCTAGTCAACAAGTATAAAGGAGCATGTAAGCACAAAAAATCAGCAAAGCTTTAGTCTTCCCGAAATGCGGGAAAGTGGAGACGGATAATTTGCATTGTGGGATTAAGGAGAGGGGAAGGAATTTATAGGGATATCGTTGTATGGTCAAATTCCATTCTCAAGTGTTGGTGCTCCGTGCTTTGTAGGAGGAAGTGTTGCATTTTAAGAAAGCGAGATAAGCTTTCATCCTCTTCCGTTCCTTACAGGAATTCTGATAACTAAAAAATCACCGCTCCCGTCATTCATTCAGTCCCGCATCAATGGACAGCAACATAACATCACCCTACGACTGACTATAAAGGTAAGAGGGAAGATGTCTTCTCCTCTGTCACCGAGTCAGTGCAGACGATAGACCTGTCCGCTGGTATTTGCCATAACAATTTATGACCTCTACACCCTGACCTCTACACTTTATCTCAGAAAGCATTTGTTTGCCTACTGGCTTGCTACTGCTCTCATTCCTTTTCATACTATTTTTACATTCACCCATTCTCCTCTATTCCTCTTTGTCTTCACATTCTTCTTTTCTTTCGTTGTAGTGTAAGGTCAGAAGCGGCTGGTGTTTAGTCAGGGTTAAGTGGAGGTGTCTCTCTCTTGCTCCATCTCCTTTGGTGACAGTTAATTCAGCCTGGCCATCCTGAAATCCTTCCCTCTATGGGTTTCAGCTTGTCATTATTTTGCTGGCGTTTTCAAAAATTAGCGCTTCTGTGTTGTTCACTGCTGCTTATCCTATTCGTCTACAATAACCGCCATTTCCCATCTAACATATGGAATTTGTTTCGACCTCAATCGGTTGCTAACTTCCATGCCTGGAAAACTTTTCCAGTAGATGAGACGAATCGGAGGTCATTTCGAGATAATTCGACCTTGGAGAAGTTTGAAAAACAAATGCACTCTCTGCAGAGGGAGTTTACTCTTCTGAAAAAGAATTGGCATTCGGTTAAGACGCTACAAAAGTTGAATGAGGGAAGATATATCAGTGTAAAATACCAAAACGAAGCAAACCGGAAACGGATTTTAATCACTGGTGGTGCAGGTTTTGTTGGCTCTCATTTAGTAGATCGTCTGATGCTTGAGGGACATGAGGTCATCGCACTTGATAATTACTTCACCGGTCGAAAACGGAATGTGGAACACTGGATTGGACATCCTAACTTTGAGCTTGTCCACCACGATGTGGTTAATTCATATCTTACCGAAGTAGATGAAATATATCATCTTGCCTCTCCCGCATCGCCAGCTCATTACATGTATAACCCTGTTAAAACCATCAAAACAAACACCATTGGTACCATAAATATGCTAGGCTTAGCTAGAAGATTGAAAGCACGTATATTATTAGCCTCAACATCTGAAATTTATGGTAATCCGGAGGTGCATCCACAGCCAGAAAATTACTGGGGGCATGTAAATACAGTAGGACCACGTTCATGCTACGATGAAGGAAAACGGGTCGCTGAGGCTTTGATGGTTGCCTATCATGTCCAGGAGAAAGTGGACATCCGAATTGCGCGGATATTCAATACCTTCGGACCTCGAATGCATATGAACGATGGTCGTGTTGTGAGTAATTTCATCCTGCAGGCTTTACGTAATCATCCGATGACCATCTTTGGTGACGGCAAACAAACTCGTTCGTTCCAATATGTGGACGATTTAGTGACAGGATTAATCAAATTGATGGGAAGTAACTGCACAGATCCAGTTAATATTGGAAATCCGGAAGAAAGAACAATTATTGAATTTGCAGAATTGATCCGCGGTTTAATAGGCAGTAATTCGAGTATTGTTCATGAACCTGAACAGCAGGATGATCCACAACAGCGCAAACCTGATATCTCACGAGCTAATGAAAAACTGAAGTGGAAGCCTATAATTTCGATGCATGATGGCTTAATTAAAACCATTGACTATTTTCGGGACGAATTGGAGTATGATCGGATGATGCTCGAAGAAGATTATAGAAAAGATGAACAGGATGGTAAATCAGAAATCTTCTTTGCAACTCGAAAGAATTTGTGACTTTTCATTTTTAGCTGGTGGTGATATCAGTTAACTCGTTATAGCTGCAATTTTAAAATAAGTATCACAACATGGGTCTAATTAGATAAGTTTGTATTTGAAATTCCATGACAAATCGATTTACTTCAAATACTTTCCTTATAATCAGGAAAGATTTTTCGAAGCTTATTACCTTACAGTTTCTTAGTTGTAGTGATCGATATTGATCTCTTCAGAAGCGCCACTTCCATAGTTTTATTTTACCGAAAAGGAAGATGATATGTTTTTCACAATCAAAATTTTCCGTGTTTTCATAGAATTTATCCATTTGTTGCTTGAATTCACATTATGTGTCAAGAATTTGGAAGTGTTAAAATAGAAAATTGAAGTTTAAATTCCCCAGCTTACTATGATACTTTTTATTAATTTCCTTAATTGCTTCTATGCACAATTGCTCACTTTGCATTGATCTGATTTCTAAAATGAAATCAGCTCGAAGCTTTTACAGATCGTTGATAGTTTCCTCAGTTTGTCATGCTGTAAATGATTATTTTTTGAAGTGATTGCGAAGTGAGTTTCTCTGTGGTTTTCTTGTTTAATATCATTTGTTAATTAGAAATCTTTTCTAATTCCTTTGAAATTATTTTATACCTAGTTTCCATGTGTTGAAAATTGATTATTCAAAAGTGAAACCTTTGTGAAGCAGGCGCTGCTTTGAAAACCAATTCCTCTCATATTTTCCACATTCAGACGAAATTATTCATCACTGTTTTCATTCCACCGTAAAAATGAGGGAGTAATTAATATGCCAAAGCTCTCGGGGGATTCAGAAAGTAACTGTATAATTTCGTTTAGAAACACCTTGACTAATATCGAAAGTTTCTGAAAACCAAACAATTCGCAGTTACATGAGCCGTCACAAATACGGGATATCACGTACATTAGATTTAAACTTTCCGCTTTAGTCACTGCATGTGTCTATTGTAAGTTTATGCTTTCCTTAGATGCTCAAATGTCTTTTTATTACAAATGCTTAAATTTACTAATTTTTGTCCTAAATGAAATTCTTTTATGCCAGTCTTTGGAGTGGACACAAGAAACTTGCAGAAATGTGTTTTATTTCTTGTCATTATTTGGATATATTTAGTAGATAATTAGCTTCGGAAATGGCTTTGAAAATTTAAAACCGTCTTGGTTTTTTCTTTTTTTTTATCTAACTGGCAGTTCTATCAAATGAAAATTTTTATTTGGATGTTTGATGAAGTACGAATATCTCTTTCGTGATCCTTTCTCGTTCTTGTATTCCAAATGTGTAAAAGATGAGGATTTTACAATTAGTTCACTCTTGCCGGTATTAAACAAAAGAATGAGAAATTCCAAATCTTTTGAAATCTCAATACAATTTCGTCTGATGTAAAACTGGTTTAGAAAAGATCGAATTAAAGGGAAGGGATTGAAGAAAATCGATGTTTGGGATCAAGTTGAAGCAGTAGTTATCTGCCTTAATTAAGTCAGCAGTTAAGAATTGGTCGAGATTGTTCTGGATGCTGCTATTATTATTGCATTAGTGTGGAATCTATGTGGGATATTTCATAATAGATTTCGAGGAGGGGGGGGGGGGTATAATGGAAGATTTCTTGTATTCCTGAAAAGTTGCACAACGTAACACAGAGTAGCAAAATTCCGCCTTTATTCCTACCTCAAGCTTGAGTAATTAAATCATTGGATAAAAGAAACAATATTCATCGCACAACCATTAAGAATTACAAAATACAAATTAACGTATAAAGCTAACTTCTTTAACATTGCTGCAAGATAATTTCAAAGACATCAAAGAATAACGGAAAGGAAGATTATCTTCCTAATAGATGCAGAGTTTATGTAAACATCCTTCAAGGATTGGTCTTTCGATTACAAGAACGCCTTTCATGCGGATAAAGCCCTCTGTTAGCGCCCATTAGTAGTATAGGGCTCCTTGGGTACATTGCTAAATAAGGAGCACGTATACAGTTCTATGAAGTGATAGCATCTGTCCTACTCATACTGTATGTTTTTTAATCTTAGTCACGATCCAACATAATACATGCTAGTTAGTACATCACTACACATTCACTTATGATTCTTTATATTTTTCCTTCTTGCGTAACTTCACGTTTATCCGCGAGATTCCCGATGGCGAAATAATGTGACTTGAATCGATTTGATTCGTGCTGCTTTGTTGCTAAATCATACAATTTATTTCGTGTTTTGGATATGATCAGTTTTAACAAATTGGAGTGAAATTTTGGTATATATTCGATTTGTTATAGGCTTTTTTTTTTTCAAGCATAATTTTCCATGTGGGAGAAAACATGCAAGACTTGCATCGAACAGTTGATATTTTTTCTGCCATAACTAGTCCAGAAAATACCATGCACAATGAGCTTAGGATAAAGAACCACATCTTGTTTGCTTTTAAAGCTGAGGAAGCATTGACCTCTTCGTTCCTTTTGCTCCTAGTCATCATTGACGAACGAGGTTTTATTAACTCATTCCCTTACGTTCTTTTCATTTTCATGTTCTGCTTGATCGGTATGTCGTTCTTCTTTATTTTGACCTCTAATTTCTGGAGGGATCAATTATCGGCTTAATTATTTTGTGATTGTTGTGGAGTTGTACTGTTGCGCTTCGAATTGCTCCTCCATCTGGTTTCAGCTCTTCAATGATTCATAATTTTCAGGTTCCTTTTGGTTGTGCTTTTTCTATGTCTTTCTCTTCATCCGATGACCCAAATCAAAATCATCCTCCTTCGATGCTTCTGGTGATTTCTGAATTTTCAATGACGACTGCTTTGTCAGAGCTAGAGCAATGTCACCACCCTGGTGAGCATTTCTGAACGTAATTTTCCAATTTCATTTCGCATTCCGTCACTTGTTTTCTTTAACGCCATAACTTCTTCAATTAATTTGTTAGAGCATCGCCAGTTTAATCATGATTGGTATCTTCCATAGTTCGATTCAATATCTTTCTGGCATTAGGATAGCATCACGTAGACCATCCGACCCGACGGGCTTTTCATGCACACTATCATGACTTTTGTCTTTTTGATGTTTGCTCTTGCCTTTGCGGCGCTCTGGATCGCCGCTGCCAGGTATTCCCCTTTTTGGGTCCATCGTTTGAGTGATAGTGGTGGGGCATTTTCCCACTTTCACCTTTCTGAGATCTTTTGCACAGTGCAGAATTGTGTTAACCCTTACAATAAAAGCATATTTTTTTGTAGTTTCATTTTCTATTGTCGTGTTTTTTCAAACATCGGAAACACAGATGCAGTTTTCAAGCTCTGACAAGTCTTTATTCTGCTGCATTTACCTAAATATACTAGGAGAAATACCGCATCGCTTCAGTTCTTCAGGGTCACCACTCTCACTCTCTCCTCTTTCGCGTGGATATTCACTCAGGAGCTTCGAGGATTGTTCGCACATAGTACATCATTTCCCTCTCGTTTTACTTCTCTTATCTCCACATGTGTTTCATATTTGTTTTACATGTCGGTCTATATTTTTAAAATAAATTTTTTTATGACATACAACAAAATTTTTTTAATGACATTTTTATTATTTTTTATGGTTTTCTATCACAAATTTCTTCACCTACAACTTAGTTCACTTCTGAATATTCTGATCTCATGCTATTTCTTTCACTCCAAGTAGTGAACGAAATCAATCTATGCTATGTCGGAATTCCGTTGAAAATGTTGTCGAAATCAAGACTTCTAGAAAGTCTGCATTAGCAACACTCGATACAAGATTAGGCGTTGAGTGAATGAATCTGTTCCGTTTCTCGATTGTTAAGCAAATGATTTGAGAAGAGTTCGCTAATGTTGCTTTCTGTTTCAATATGGTGTCTAAAGATAACAGAAGTTGAAAGAGGTGAAAACAGCTCAGGTTTAATGATCTGAGTTTAATGTGTAATTAAACCTGACATGTAGGGTGTCATAATAATTGATATTGATAAAGTGTTATGCCCACAGTGTAGTTGCGACAAGCGAAAAATCCTTATTAAATTTGACTTTAAGTTGAAGTCAGATTTCCCGATTGCAGTAAATGATCCTGATCCGACAGCTTTATTTCTTTTCTAGGAAATATTCTATACCATTTACTTAACACTTTATGCTATGGCTATTTCCTCATGCTAACACTCATTCGTGCTGCCAGTTGTGGCATAAATTGTCGTGGATCGCCGATAATATTATGCAATAATCTACCATCGAAACAACCATGCCGAATATTCACGAACTGGGCCAAGTGTTATATAAGATCCAGGAATTCGATGTATTATTTGGGAAGCGTTGGTGTGCTGTTCTTCAGTTTTGCAGTACTTTCTGTACCAGCATATCGAATGTTTTGCGAAAAGACTGCAACTATCGGATTAACAAAGGCAAAAAATTTAACATTTGAGAGTGTTTAAATTACTGGCAATTGATTACATAGTTGTTCAGCAAACATGCCGATTATCAATAATTATCCTGCTGAAAAGTGCCAATTTGACACTGTAACGTACTTTGCAAAGCAGTTTTAAAGTTATTTCAGAACCTAAATTTAATCATTCCTTAAATTTTCTACAGATTGCTGATGATATGGAACGCGTTGCATCAATGGAAAAAATTAAGGATCGATTAATACGCGTGTCTTTTAACGCTGACCTTCATTCTGCCTTGAAATGGCAGTTCAAACCTTTACAGAAAGAAATTTATGTGCATCCAGGGGAGACAGCACTTGTTTTCTACAGTGCCTATAATCCAACAGACAAACCGGTGGTTGGTATTAGCAGCTACAATATCACACCTTTCCAGGTAATAATTTTGAATTTTTCGCTTTCTGTTGTGTTAGCTGACATTGTACTTTTGCCTTTTCCGAATTTGCAGGCAGCTTATTATTTCAACAAAATTCAGTGTTTCTGCTTCGAGGATCAGATCCTTAATCCGGGAGAACAGGTGGATTTACCTGTTTTTTTCTATATTGATCCTGATTATATAACTGACCCGGATTTGGAATATACAGATAGTTTAATCTTGAGTTATACATTTTTCGAATCAAAGTCAGGTACTTTTTGCTTGCTTACTTAATTTTCAATTTGATACTCATTCAATTTCTCATAGATGTAAGGTCCACCCGTGTTATGAAAAGGGCAAATCTTTCATTTGATTTATATTCATTTGTGAATTTTGTATAAACGTTCCACTACTTCTACAGTATCGAATGTATCATTCTTTTAATACATTACTCGTGTTCTTTTATGTCCTTAAAAAAAATCCTTAAATAAGGATGGCCTGCTACAAGATATGTAGTTCCACATCTGATGGATTCATAATTGTTTTTGCAGATCTTGTTTTACCGAATCCATTCGATCCAAACAACCAGCCCAATATAAAGCGAAATACAAGTGATGGTAATAAAAAGGTGGATAAAAATTAGAGACTGGAAAAAAATGAAAAATTGTTAAACATAAAGACAAATAATTATAGCTCAAAATGTTGATGTATTCTTGTCAAAGGTTGACTGTGAAGGAAAAGAGGAGCTATTTAAAAAATATCCAGTCAGAAAATAGAATAGTTGCATTCTAATAACACCATGCTCTTTGTAATTATATTTCAGTAACATCCCGCTCCTTTTAGTGCATAGGTTGCACTAAAAGGAGCAGGGTGTTATTGAAAGTTTCGTTTGCCAACTGTTTTCACTATATTTGTTTCATACACATCGTCTTATGAACAGACCTAGTACCAATTTATTTTGCGACTGGAATAAATTTTAAAATGAAAACTGAAATAAATTTTAAAATTATTAATCGTGCCGTTTAAATTCCAAGAATTGTGTAAGTTGGGATAAAACTCGTTATTATCAATAAAAAATAGTCGTTTTTACCTAATCCAGCGGTGCCGTTTATGTAGATTTTTTCCTAAACAAGATAGTATTGCTGACATCTAATACAAGAAATGAGAGATACGGAATAATAGCTATGAGTCATCAGCAGTCACTGTTTTCTCTTATCATCGTAATCATTATGTATCTAAGCTGTTCTGGCTGAAGATGCAGTTTTGTTGTAATCACTGTTTTGTTGTAATTACTACCTTGGAAGGTTAAAATTAGTGCTACTCCACTTTTCTGGTTGAAGTTCTAGGGAGAACTCCTGTCCTTTCATTACGCTTCCTTATTTCTTTACGTTAAAATATTGCAATGATCGCTTACTTTCATCCTGCAAGTTCCTTGTGATTTATCAGTTTTAGGAAATAGGTGATAGAGAATTTTGATTCTTCAGCAAAACAGATGGGAGTGGATTCTATATTTCCCTATTTTAAAGGAAAACTGAAGAGGAGTGAAAGAGAAAAGCAGAAATTTTTTCTGAGCATTTTTTTTGAACTGACTGTGACATGTTCGTTGATGTCTTTCTGCATGCTAAGTTTTACGTTCGTTTAGTTATGAAAACCGACAATTTTTCCAACAAATGTTCAATAAATGGCAAAGGTCGCTTTTCGAATTACCTTTTCCTGGACTTTTAATCAACTTGCAATGAATTGAATTAAATTAACATGCTAGCGTGTGCTTGTGTCATTTTTTATGGTTCCGCATTGGCTTATCCACTTCTTCATTTCTCTCTTTTTCGGCTCCCAGTAATTATAATATTCTTTTTTCTCCTATGACAATTGGCTGTGAACTTTTTCAGATTGTAAATGAACCTTGTAGATTTACTTGTGAAACAGAAGGGCAGATGTATACTTAACAGTGTTGACCCATATAAGTACATGCGCAAATTCAATAACTTATCATTTTATGAATAAGCGTTTCCAGAAAAATATTGCGACGTATCGCCTGCACATTTCAAGCGTCTAAAGAACCTCCCCACGAAAAGGTGAAGTTGATAACATTCAATGTCCCGCCATACAAGTTCAATTAGCTCACATGGCTTATTGCTCTCGTGATATTTCATCTCTTCCAATCACCGAACATGGAAGTATTCAACTTTATCGTCATTTATTTCCGGAAAATTGAAAAATTTTTTAACTCGTATTCAGTCTGTAACGAATCAGTACAGATTACGACGAGTGAAATTCATAACACACCACAATAGTGATTCGCTCAGTAGTGGAAGCAGCTTGGAACAAGCAGTTGCTCTTTTTTATCTGATAATAATTCATGATCCCTACTTCGTTTATCACAGGGATGACAAGTAGTCTATCTTCCTGAAGCATAAAAGAAGTGATAAAGGGACTAGGATAATGCATTAGTGCTTTTGCTTGTGCATTCTTTTTTTAAAGGCTTTTTTCCAATAACTAAAAAACATTGAGCAGTTCGATTTTTCCTCCAATCAGCTAAGCAATACTATCATAAGATTGGTGATGCTTGTGAAGGCTTCGAGTCTCCAATTGTCTTCTTAATCTAAACCCATCTATTTCTGCATCTTACAACACAAACTTTTCTAATGCGTAATTTCTTGTTTTATATACGAATAAATCTCATCACAAATTTGTTTCCACTTCATAATTATGTCCTCACATCATTCTGCAAAATGCATGCATTTATAAAGATTTTTTGGCTATCAACTGAAAGGGATGAAATACTGGGCAGAATTATGCGGGGATGAGAAAGAGGAAGTTTAGAGAAGTTATTTAGGTTTGAATTACCTCAGTGTCTAATTTGTGGTAAAAACGCCACATTCGGACTCAAAGAGTTACGAAAAGGAGTTTTCGAGACAATGTCACCTGCTGTTGTTGCATTCCTTCAATAGATCCTCTATCGTACACATGATTCATGTGTACATTTTTTTCCAGTAACTAAAAAACATGTACACATGATTAATGAAAGAAAATTTCGCTATTTGTGTCTCATGTTAACTCAGCTCATTTTCACACTACCTTCCTATCCAGAGATTTCTTTAGCCGAAATCGGATTTCTGATTGATTGTAGAATCTCTGTGCTTTCTTCACGTTAGAAAATTTTGTTTTCATCGACTAAAGAAATAGACAACTAATTTAGGATTGTTTCACTTCAAAATTTGATATCACATGAGCAGTGAAGGCAGCCCATGTCAAATGAATCATTATAAGCAATCATTGAATATGCATTTCACTTACATGCTATTGCCATACCTTAGCTTGAAATTAAATAGAACAAGCGCTGCTGTCTACTATTTCCATATTTAAATAAGTAAACTTTCAACCATTACTTATTTTAACAAAAATGGCTTGATGTCCGACATAAGAGACTTTCGATGATGAAAAGATTTGTTGATGAGGTTTTAATCTACCATCAAACACGAGCATCTACTCGCACACCTTTTCCTGCAATGACACTTTTTTGCAAAATATAACAACTCTTTTAAAGTTATCCAAGGAAAACCAATCTTTGCTATCATTTGTTATTTAGTCCAATTTAATTCCTGTTCATATTTATGCTTACAGTTTTAACAGTTATCTTCCGAAAGAAAAAGAAAAAGCAATTCAATCTCATCCGAAATTGAATTTAAGACAAGTTGTAAATTCCACGATCAATCGACTCAGATTTCCATCAACTGGAAGAAAGTACTGTTGAAGGAAGTGGAGTCAGTTATCTTTTTCAGTAACTTCATCCGTAACATAGTTTGATAAATAATATTGAACTAGTGAGTCTTTCATATTCCGAAATGTTGCATCAATATCGTCTTATTCAATGTATTGCTCTGAACGTCGAGGTTCAGATTTCAGCAATAACTTATAGGCTCATAGCGGGAATTTTTCGGAAATCTTATTTATCAAACAATCAAATTTCCAGAAATTTGCTCAACAGAGAGTAAAGTTATGGTCGAAAAAGTGTGAAGAGATTCTTCAAGTTTATTTATTGAAATATTTGTCAAGACGTACAAATCTAACTCATGAATTCCAGTGACCGGTTGAAATTTGCACGTAATTCGAAATTTATTCAGAAAAAAATAGCGAGTTTTTGCAGTCAGTGACATTATTCATGGAATCTCATCGAATTGGACTATACCGCGCTTACTGTTCACACAGTCAATTTATATCATACATATCGGCATTATTGCAATGTTAACTTTGCTCAAGTGCTAAGTGTTAGGGATTGGAACCTGAAGGCGAAATATGCGTACGATTAGCTCCACATTCCTACAAATCTTTAGCGTCGTCCATGCTAATTAATTATTACCAGGAATATTCCATCATCGCAATGATGGTCAAGCAATCAACTGATTGCTTATGATTTCAGCCACCAAACTGCACAACATTTTTTGCCTGAATTTTTTAAAGCAAATGTGCCGCCGTACTTCCATATGTTTAACTGTCACAATGCAACATTTTAGCAAGCTAATTTGAAATCGATCTGTGAACATCATAATTGCAAAGCTCGTTGAACACTGAACACCACTTTACATTTCAGCATCTATGGGAAGCTTTTTTTGTTAGCAATACTGGGAATTTCATGTTGGATGAAATACATCCTATAAGTGATAAAGTTATCATTTAGCAGATTACATACCTCTGCTTCCACCTCGGGAATCCTGCTGATGGATGAAATGCTTGAACTCTGGAACATAAAATCTCATGAATTAACTTTAGATGTTTTTCTGCGCTAATACATGCAACTAAAATAAAATACGAATATTTTCAACAATCCACTCCAAAACAATGGAATTTCGTCCAATTCCCGAAGTTCCATATTTGATTTGAAACGGTTGTATTTTGAAATCACCTTTGTTCAAAACTAAGATTTTATTTCCTTAAGTAACATGAAAGACAACTGAAGAAAAGCAATAACGATTTCGCAATATTAGACGACAAATTTGAAATTCCATAAGAAGAAGGTACTTATGACCACTCCACCTTTACTATGATATAATATTCCTGGGATCCGTGCTTCCAATAAGAATGATCTCTTGGAAAATACATGCAAATGAACACTTTCTCATTACAACAAACCATGGAGTAATTTGGGAAACTTAAACTGGAAAAATTCAAATCAAAAACTAAAGACATTTTTTAATCAAAGTTAGAGACTTTTTCCAAAGACTAAAGACATATTTTTTTGAGTCACAAAATCTACTCAACATCGTGCGACACCTTGTTTATCCTTACAACTTGTTAATACAAAATAAAAATAAGAATCGGCTTATCATCAGTTTCCGAACGAAGACACATAATTTATACTGTGCTTGCCACAACTTCACGAATTTCACCTGTTTAATAAGCTATAGCTTTCACTGCTACAGGTTGTGTGCGCAAAATACTACTATTCGAGGAAGCAATTTGACGAGTTTTTTTAGGCGGCGAAGATGGTAACGCACCAAGATCCAAATTAATTGCCAGACAAACGGGCAAGATCAAAGGACATGTAAGAATCTCTGCAAATTGAGAAAAAAAAACTGAACCTTAAAATCCTTTGGGAAACCTTCAAAATCGTATTTAAAATGCGAGAGACAACAAAATACAATGAATTTCTATTTCGGTAGGAGGTTTAAGAATTGAGACATCCGTAAGAGACTAAAATATTCAGGTCTGGGTAAGAAAGATACCATTCCGGTGTTTTTTCAGCAAATAATGCTTGTACTTCTAACAAGATTTTGGAAAAGTTCCTGAAACTGGAAAACGCTACTCTTAGTGCAAACCTTTGAGAAGAGGCCTTTTGTTTTCATTAACATCCAGGATGGAACTGACCAACCTCTTCAAATCATCACTCCAGTGTTCAGAGACTGGATTATGTTTCCCCTGAAACATTACAAAAATCTCATCCCTACAAAACCAATTCATGGAAATCGCTCCAAAAAAAATTGGTATGACAATGTGTTTCATTTCTATGTGGTTTGTGAGCATGAAGTAAGAATAAATAACTCTTTTTTAAACAAGGAATGCAAATTTATAAACACTGAAGCATGCTTTTGTGATTTTCATGACGATTGATGGTAGATTTTCGCCATCAAATGCTCGTTTTAATTCAGCAAGTTCATATAAAACACAACCCAAAGCCCATAAGTCGCTTTTCTGATTGTACGCTCTGCCTGCAAGGAATTTTAGTTGTTGCTCGGTTGTAAATAAATTGAGTTGCAAAAGAAAAAAAGTCATGAAGAAAAAAAAAGACGAACAAGGTGTGGAATCCAATATTACCTTCACAGATTTCTGGAGAAAGATAATTCGGTGTGCCAATAATCGTCGATGCTAAACTTCTTGTTGATAACTCTTTACTAATTCCGAAATCACTCAATTTAACAATAGTTCGTTTTTTATTTAACAAAATATTTTGCGTTTTCAAATCTCTATGAAGTATTTGTTTGGAATGCATATATTCAAGTCCAATAGCAACCTGAAAATATTCCGTCACAATTACTTTTGTTATTTAGCAAAGGGAATGTGAAAATACGTTGTCTATAGAAAGTGCATGATATCTGTTGATTACTGTTATGGTCGTTAATTGTGAAAACAGATAATGAAGTTGATGTTTCTTGCGAGTCCTGTCCAAAGTATGTTCAAATTCATGAACTGTAGAAAAAAAAAAATAGAGACCGTCCAAAGATTTATGTACTAGCAAAATGCTTATCCTTCTATTTAAAAATCCGGTCGCCGAAGGAATGGGTGTATGTAACAATGTTGCTTCAATTCCATTGCTTAGTAATTCTTAATATGTTAATAAAGGGCAACCTGTGTGAAATAACTGAGCACCGTATTCTCAACAAATTTGATTCCTTTTTGTTCCGAAATCATTTTGTCCATTGTTCCACCCTCGGCATACTGCATGACAATCGAAAAAGCGTTTTCGGTCTATAAAAATGATCAAATTACCATGGAAAGGCCAATTCAAGCACTGTCAAACATATTCCAGTGAAATATGCTGAAAAGTGCTTCTTTGACTGATCAGGAAAAAATGAAATGCATAAGTGATCAATAAATACCGATCAATAAACAGTAAGAACCTTAAATGACTCATAGTATCCAATAATATGGGGATGATGAAGGCGCTTCAGTAGCGTAACTTCGCCTGGAATACTTGTACAATAAGGCCTGAAATTATTAAAAAACACGAAACCATCATGTCTACTATTCATTGAACTCATCGTTTTGAGAAATGAAATGCTTAAGATACATAATTCATTCACTAGGAGCTATCTTCAATAAAGCTCGATGCAGCAGCGACATATACTGATAGGAATCTCGAAAGTATCTATGAAGAACAATAAAAATATTGAGTAAAAACTTTTCTCCTGCAATGACACTACTTAAAATGGTACCAGAAATCCGAACTAAAAACCCAACCCATGATAGCATTCTGTTCCTCTTGGGCCAGTCCCTCCAACGCCACTGTTTTGATAATGACCTTTTGTCGGAAAATATCATCTTTACGTTGACAGAGCCAACAGACGCCATGAGCTCCACGTCCAACTACTGAAATCTTCTCGTAGTCGTCCATGTAAATTTGTTAATTCCTACTGAATTGGCAAACTACAAAAGTTGGCACCATCACAACTTAGTATTTTTCCGTGTTTTCAAGAAATAATAGGTAAAAAGTTGAGTGGAAATGTGAAACTTTTGTTTCATCGAAATGTTAAGTTTGATTAACTCCTGCTCCATTCCCCATGTGTTCAGTCATAACGTTGACGTTGAAAAAATATAGATTCAGGAAATCTCGAACTGGAGTAAAAATACCATAGACCTAGGAGAGGAGCGTACCATGGGGGGATTGGAAAACTGTGTTAACCTTTTCCTTATCCTTCTTGAAAGAAAAGTTGTTTCTTAAACGGCTCAAGTTCAACTCGCGAAATGCATAGCGTAATACGTTAATTTGTGAGGGTCCAATTCCTCATATCTTCCTCTGATAAATTATATTATGGAACTGTGAGGCAACGCGAAGAGAGTCATCCAGTAAGATAGGAAGTGGAAGCAGTTTGGACAGAAGAGGCGCATTTGTTTCGCGAACTAATTTATTCGTAAAATCATGAATAAATAGCATAATTTTCGGACCAAATAAATTTGGGTTTATGAAACGAACTTCTGATATAATACTCGAAATTAATTCTACCCAAGATGAGTTATTACCATGACAAATATTTAGAATGATGCGAGTCATGCGTGAAGGAAAACTTGAGTGTATGATTGCAGAATCGATTATTTATCGGGTTAAATATAAAACAGACAGAATACAAACTGTGCAAGAATATGATATATTCAACGAGTTAAAAAAAAGTATTTCAAGATCAGAGAAATTATCCCGCCCAGGTATCAATTGCACGTTATGTGCTCTCCATATGAGCTACCTCTAGCCAATTCTATAATGCGATCGGAAATGGACGTTGAATGACTTCAGGCAATTATACATTTCGCATTCCAACGATCCACAAAATTCACGTACGCTTCTAAAAGTTATCATTATGTCTGCAGATATTTACAGAAACTGACGCATACCCTATTTGAGCGCTGTCCTAATTAGGCAAATTTACCTATGCAAAGATACGGTTGGAATATTTTGTATAGATAAAACTGCATAATTAGAGGCAGTCTCGAAACAATTATATAAAGCGAGTTTTAAGTCCAACATTCAGTTTTTCCTTCAGTCGAAGCACATAAAGGTCGTATGGTGTGATGCTTATCTTTGCTGGCATTAATTGGGATGGAGGGATACCGAGGGGATAAATCGAGATGCTTTGGGAACTACGGCGGGAGTACCTCATATTGTTTAACTGTTAATCCTTTGATTTCTCACCCCCCTAAACCTGAAGCCAAGAAGCTGTTCTCAAATCCCGACATTGCAGGATAATCTAGTACACGATGGGTGATGCTCCAGCAGAGGGTGCACCGCCACCAGAGGCTGCACCACCAGCAGAAGGTGCACCGCCAGCAGAGGGAGGAGCTCCGCCGGAAGCTGCTGCTGCACCTCCGGCTGGACCACCGACGTTGAACATTGATCCACCAGCCGCTCAGGTACCTGCTGCGGGTGGACAATCTGTGCACCAGGTCGCTAATCCAAGTGGTGTTCGCTTGGCTTTCAAGGTACATAACTTCGAATTTCCGGTATTTTTCATCCCGACTTGCTGAAAAAAAGAGATCCAGTAAAAGATGTTTCACTTGCAGGTAAAGTCAACGAACAATAACGACTATCGTCTAAAACCGGTGTACGGATTCGTCGAGCCGGGGGCAACAGCTCCACTGGAAATCACTCGTACAGCCGGACCACCAAAAGAAGACAAATTTGTCATCCAGTTCAAGGAAGCAGCTGCAGATGCCGCTGACCCCGCTGCTATTTTCAAGGAGGGACCACCAACCGGGGAAGTTACCTTGCCCATTATGGCTCAGTAAGTATCCAACGTCTTTCTTGGATATCCTGGATTGCAACCTGTCATCGCTTACCTATCAACAGAGGATTATTTCTTCTAAAAATTGACTTGGGATAAGTATTCTTCAATCCATTGAAGTAAATTTTTAACAACAAATCAGTATATCCATGCTTCAATATGCGGATAATGTGAATTATCTGTGTAACTTTCGCGCTTGCTCCGATCTATGCTGTCACCTGCTTTGTCGCCATCTACACATGTAATAAATGTATTTATGTGATGTCCGCACACAATATTACCTCTCTGAAACTTCAAAGACGAACAAGTTCCTAGTCCTTAGTTGTTACGAAGTCTCCATTGAAGCAACTTCATATGATTGAATGGATCATTGCGGTCATTTATAACGCAAACTGCATGACGGTTACCCAAATTTGAAAGTGCGCGTAGGGAGTTAAAGTCCATGTGTTCTATCGTGACATTTTTCCCTGTTGGAATTCCGGGAATTTAACGAGTTACTTCCATGGGATTTATTGGTTACGGTTCTTCTCGTACTTAGTTTCTTATTACTCTGTGAATTATATACTCCGTTTAACCATGTTCGTTAATGGGTTAGTTAGTGATCGCAGCGGCATATAAAATAATCCATGTCTTCCCATTTTCAGTTCGTTTCAACGATGGATCAATCATTCTCAGTGGATAGATGAATGAAGGATAGGTGTTAGTGACAAACTGTCCTATAAGCATACACATACCATCAATGAATGACGATCCCGTTCTTACTGTAAGTGATGAGCCGTATTCTTGTTCTATGAATTGGTTCCTTGAAATCTCTTATAGTAAAATGATAAATGTATTTTGATTACCTTAGCCGTATTATACGACAAGATTTCTCATGATTTTCCTAAATTTAGATATTTGCTGAAAGAGCGATGAAAATTCTTAGCATCAAAATGATTACTAAATGAAGACGAATTTTCATTGGTTGTCGTATCATGCCAGGAAGTAACTGAATCTCAAATTGAGTACTTTCTACCTTCCCGTGATATAATCTGTTATTGAGCTAGATCCACGTCTCAACTTCCGTGCTATATGATGTATGACAACCATTATACCACGAAGCCAATTAGCTATTGCTGTTGTTTCTGGAATAGTAACTCTATTGATATAACTCCACTACTGATACAACATTCATTTGGTATTTTTTATTGTTGCTAACTTTACAATTATCGAAATAGAATATTTCAGAGTGCAGTATTCCAGTAAAAAATGGTAGTGCACATTTATCCATGTGTTTGGATTCATATCTTGCAGGTGGCACGTCCGGAATTTGTTGTTGTGATACATCTTTCTGTTTACAGAAGCAATAATAAATATGAAAAATGAATTTCGTCCAACTGTTGTCGCAGTCCTTTTTCATCATTCGACGATGGTAGTACAGACGATATTTCGAGTATCATGACACTCTATGGGTCGAGATTCCTAGAATAAAGGCATCGGCATTCTTTGATTTCGAAGGTATCTTGTTTTATTATATTATCTTATTAGTAATGATATATTAGAATCCTCTACATTCTTATCAAATTTTTTTTTCGTTAGTTATTTTTGATTTCTCTTATTTTAGAAAGATTCAGGGACATCTTTACCAATTTAGTTTTCCAAAAAACAATTGTATGCAGCAGTGTGGCGGGTCACTTTTAATATTCTGCGATGCAGATGATATCTTTGCAAAGCACTGTTTCATCTCATTATATAATGTTTTGCGTAATGCACCGAGACCTGACTCAACTCCTGCTGGTTCAAGATTCGAACGCACCCCAGCTGGGTCAATATCACGTTATATTCAGTGGGCTAATTTATTCAAGAGTAAACAAATTTGTAATCAGGTATGTTTCTCTGTGGGTTCTAGAGTTAAGTATATTCTGTAACATTGTACTTATATATTTGAATTAAATTTGAATTAATAGATTTTTAGTTCGATTGAGTTGAATTTACTTGGCAGGAAAAAAATTCAGGTCAGAACATTCTTGGTTGGCAATCTGTAACTTCCTCTGACAAACGGAATGGCACTTTTTTTGCTTTAAGTATATTATAATGTTCTTTTATTAACTTCTCCACCCATATAACTTTCAATTTTAACTAGGAAATTTTAACTGAATACTCTGTTTTAGGTTCTTCTAAATCCTTAAGATTAAATGTTCGCAGATTTTCATTTCCCGTTGGCCTTCAGTGATTGCTCCTACTTGGTATGTCGGGAAAATGGTGTATGTCGAAAAAACTCTATAATGAAGTTGGAGGCTTTCATGCTGCAGAATCAGTGAGTTATCCGGAAGATTTACACTTTTTCTATGATGCTTTGGTACCAAAGATTGGTACAGATTTATAAAGGTAACAAATTTCTAATATATTTGATCACTTTCTGTGAAGGAACTTTTCGGCATTGTAGGCGTATTTTGGAACATAATTCTCAGCAGCCTTTAAAACTTGACACAAATAAGTGTTTCAAAGTCCAACGTCCAGTTCTTTTTTTGTGGTAACATATGAAACCACTTTTTTAATTGTGTCTTTCACAGGTTGAGGAATCGTTGGTGATTTATTGTAATCTCTAAATGTAACGGGATATGAAAGTTGCATATAGCCATGCTTGGGGAACTGGTTCTTTCGAAGTGGAAGAAATTTATGTTTTCGGCTACTGGCACAGTTGGAAAAAAGTTTTACAGGTAATCTATTTCTTAGTTTTTCTTTTATCTGAATTTATGTGTATACTGCGGTGTAATAAATTACCGAGGCATGATAATATGCTGAAGCATTGAGGGGATGGTTATTTTTATGCTTCCGATTTGTGATTAAAAATCTTTGCAGTATTTTTTAATGATTTTTATATCAAATTTTTCACACAGAAAGCTTCCATTCTTTCATCAGTGCCAAATTTTTTATATTATAATACAAGAGCAATGAAAGGAATTACGGAAATTGATTTTTCAGGTCATCATATGATGATAACCGTTTAAAGGTGACAGCTTTTTGCAACATTGATGTAAGAAAACTTCACTATGGTGTTATGAGTATTTTGTTTCAGGTCAGCAGAGAGTTCTTGCCATAGTCTCAATTATTCTACTGAAGTGAGTTTTCACATGTGAGTAGAGCATTCTGTCCTTTATTCTGGTTGTATGTTCAAATTATTTGTTTAATTTTTAACGAAATGGTTACTCCGATTGCTTTATGTTTAAAAATGGACTGGACTCTTTTGATTGGAAGAATTAAGGAAGACATTAAAAATTTGTGAAATGGTCGAGGGAAAGGATTATTTTCATCTTGGGTGGTTGTTCTATTTAAGAGTAAAAGAAGTAATAGATGAGTTAAGTTACGACTAACATCAAAACGTTATCTACTGTCAGGTAGCACTTATAAAATGATCTTATTACACTGATGAAATATATAAAGCTAAGCTACCTTTCACTGTCTTACTTTATTAAAGATATAACAATATTACTAGTATTTCATACAAATTATTTACAAAAAACTTTTCAGTTTCTTTTTCTTTAGTTTATTTTGCCTTCAAAGTAGTAATGTACTGTTTGAGCACTGATCACCGTTCGAAATAATGCTATCAAAACACGTATAACCACTCTTCCTGATTTTGCATATATATATATATATGTTTACTTATTGGTTGATTTTGTGACTGTTTTACAGGTCTTTTTGGTGTTTCCACTTTAGTAGGTTTATAGTGTCCGTTTAAAACTGTTCTTTTTAATATAAACTAATGGCACCGATGCACTGACATTTTTCGTGGGCTCAAATGCTTACGCTGTTTAGCTTTGCCTTGCGTGTTTGTTTGGCGACCTAATTTGGTTATCTTTTAATGGCGAAGTTATCTTCCCTTTTTATCTCATTTATAAACTAGAGCATTTTAGTTCGTGTTTTAATGTTCATTGTCGTTAATTATGTCATGTTTCACTTCCATTACTATTAAGTGTGTTTGCAAAGGTGTTTTATAAGTGGCTTTCAAATTGCAGGATTTGATTTCAAAACTTTTCCATTTTGTGATTTTTACCTTCGCTTCACTGTTTATTACCAAACTGAAATAAATGGTTCAAATTTACACAGAAATTAAAAAGAAATTGAACAGCGCGGTTTCATCTAGTATGGTTTATCTTTACAACATTCGTGCCACCAACTTCCAAGAGTATGCTGATTCTATTACTTGGTTTCAAGAAAAGCTTTTCGGGGATGATTAATCGTAATACGACCAAAGTTCACTGTTAGTGAATCCATTTATTGCATGTTACATCTCACCTATCATCACTATAAAACAATTCGCAATTTTTTCGAATTCGTTTCCTGCTATTGATTTGACACGTTATGATGCCATAGAAAGGCGCAATTCCAAGTTTGGGCTTCAGTGTGTTACCATGAAATGGAACTTATATTGTCAGAATTTTCGTCAGAAGTTTACGACCTTTGATATGCCTGTTTCTCATGTTACTGGGAGTTGACGTAGCCTACCATCTTAAACCATGTCTATTTCAGTCTATTTCAGATTTTTTGGAGTATTCTTACTGTCCTTTCACAGAATCCACAGTTCATTTATCGTTTAAAATACTATTTCGTTGTTCTCACAGCAGAAGATCAATCCTTCTGGTACTGAAAAATTCTGCAGTTAAGATCAGAACTGCAGCGAAATCAAGCTTCAAACCTTTATTTTTCAAAACATTTGAAGCGATTGGAAAATTTTCCGATGAGACCAGTCGACTTTTGAAATTGTCACCATTTGAATTGCATCGATTTCCAATGTTGTAAGTATAAGAAAATTTCGGTACTTTGTAGATGATGACGATGATTGTGCGGCATTGTATTCGATTCGCTGTTTGTCCACAGTCCATGTTGCAGAGGGGTTTAGCAGCCAGAGAACCGTAAGTTATTATACATCAAAATAGGCTGCCAAAAAGTTCCATAATAAGTCTTAAAGTCAAAAAGTTTCTGTTTTGTCCTTAATTTCACTTGTCTAATAATTTGATGCTTGCAGGAGTGTGAAAATCCGCTTCAAGAATAGAGGTGAAACTTTGGAAGCAGTGGGTAAAATAGGCCAATCACTGTATGAAGTAGTCCTTAATGCAGACTTGCCTATTGATGGTTACGGAGCATGCGAAGGTACTTTAGCCTGTTGTACGTGTCATGTCATTCTCGAGCCAGAGCATTACAAAAGGTCGCATCCTTTAACATTTTGGTGATGTAGTTTCACTAAAGGAGTTTTAATGAACTATACAGAAAGGAATAAATTATCATCCACTGTCTATTTGTAAACCCACATGAGTTCAGCAAATTTCTTAGGTCCGTTCTAGAACCGGAATGTGAATTCAATTCATTTTGACTAGGATTCACTGGTGGATAGTTACCTGACAATGGTATGCGAATGGTAAGATTCCCCAACCTGGAGTTTAATTCATTCTCTACAGGTTGCCTCCACCAGTCGAAGATGAGCTCGATTTATTGGATCTGGCACCTGAAGCAACGGACTTCTCACGTCTTGGTTGTCAAGTGAAGCTAACGGAACAAGATCTACCGGGCGTAGAGGTCATCGTGCCGTCCGAAGTTCGCGATGCAAGAGCCTACGATTAGCCGCTGTTTTTCCTTGGAATTCAAAACAAAAAAACAAATTTCGACCTTCATGCTACAAAAATGAGCACATCGATGAGAACTGAAGTAAAAGATATACCGAACTGCCAGAAACTTATTTTTGATTCTTCAATACTCAGCATTTTATATAATCTGCCCCAAAACTGTGTTGGCTTGGAAAACCAAGAATCTGTTCCGGTTTAACGCCTTATAGCATCCCCTAACACACCTAACAGGAAGTTATACCGGCAATGAATGCTCAGTCTGTTATGTGTTATTATTACTAAAATATCGGTAATAAGTCTGAAATATGATTCGTTGAAGTCTAGTTGAATTTAGGATGACTTAAATATTTTATAAGTGAGGTTTTTATCACAATAAATATCGTTAGAAAACAAAGTAGGAAAATTAAAACAGAATAATCAAATATCAAGTACACTGCTCTCTGGAAATCGTTGAAATTTTCAATCAGAATCCGAACTGTTACGCTTTCTACGCTTTTTTTCTTTCTTATGCTTCTTTCTTCTCTTTACTCCTTCTGAATCCGAATCACTAGCATGCTTTTTTAAATGCTTCTTCTTTTTTTCTGAAACTGCTAAAAGTAAAGCGGGATATCCAGGAAGATAAAGATAAAAGAAAAGCAGAACTATCTTACCTTTGCTTCTCGTCCACGAGATCCATTGATGCTGATCGCTTCCTGAAAATAGCAAAGTAAGAAAACGATACTACTTGATAAAAACTTTACTTAGGCATGATCACTATGTTCATATTGCAAATCCCACCAATTTATTACATCCGGAAACGTTTTCACACGCTTCAGTTTCAGAAATCAAGCTAGATCAAAAAAGCTGACTTGACCATAATTAATCAAGTTGGATCAAAAAGTTGACTTGACTATAATTTTCACATTACATTCGAAAAATTTGACACTGATACCTACATGGAGACAATTGTGCACTTTAAATGTTTCATAAAATCTTTTCAGATGAAATACGAATTTTTTGCATTCGATACAATCAGCAAATTCGCCCTACGAAATAGAAAACGTTGGACAGTACATAATTCGGTTAAAATAAGATTAAAAGCGAGATTAATGAATGTGATATTGAGAAATATAAATAAATTACATGTATTAGGGAATCCCTTACCTTTTGCGACGTTCATTACTCCGACTTCGTCTCCGAGTCTCTTCCTTTCGTTCTGTGAATTTTCGGCGCGGTGGAGATCTGAAGTTTCAAACACTAGAATTTCCATTGAAAAGATTTATTCCACTGAAAGTTAGATGAGGAAACGTGTTTGAAAAAGCAAATGTATCTAAAGTTTGAGAAAAAATTTCGATCGTTAATTCCTCAAAGGCATACCTTATATCTTACTACTCTCGAAGGCATACTTCCCCAACTCGTCACTACAGTCAGATTTGTTTTTCGATTCACTTTCAAAGTTATTAAGAAAAGTTGGAGGAACAGGCTATTTAATTTAGAACATTTAATGATGAATAGATTCTGACGACATACCTGTTTGGAGAACGATAACGTTCCTTTTTTCTTTCCGTTCGTTCATCATGAAAATGCCGCCGCGTAGGAGATCGGCTATGTGATCGCAGCTTTTCATCCTTAAACTGTTTTTCCTCACCACGCTTCCTTTCAATTCCTACAAACAGCTTAAGCTTGAACCCATTTGAAATTGGCTCCTACCTAAGAATTTTTGACCTATATAAGATTTCATGATTAATTCGGGAGCTGATTGTCACTACAGATTTGAATGCCTTCGAGAAATCTAAGTATGTGGGAGACTAATATCGTCAAATTAAAATACTACTAACATAGGTACTGTAAATCTGTTATATTTTGAAGATGCAATAGCAAGTGCAACAAAACGGCCTCAAAACACTGCAACCGAATAAGAAATTTGAAAGACCGACAACAATGTCAACCTTTCGCCATATTTCTCCGCAAATTTGGCTATAACTTAAAACTTGAGTAAAGAACAGGCTAATCAAATCATACTGTCATCTTCTTTGATGCGGCCGCTTTCTCTACTTCTATCGCTTTCTCGATCTCGATTACTATCTCGGTGGCTTTTGTGACGATCGTCATCTTTTCTGCCCCGCTCACCTTCAGTGATAGTTCTGCTGTCTCGATTACCGTATCGACCACCAGTCAGAGACTCATACCGATTCTTCCAATCCGACCCAGCAACTTCAGCAGCAGCACCGTTCGAAGACGAAACACTGATGTTTTTTGCCTAGAAAATTTCAAAATATCTGAAATACTTAACGACAAGCATACAAAGGACTATCAGAATTTTATAACCACTTCGATGATTAAAAAAATGAGAAAGTTCTTGGTGATAATCGTATATGCAGAGAAATAAAAAGGAACAATAAACTAGGTAGATTTTTAAATATAGGAAACACACTGCTGATTGCAAAAACCAGGTGCAATGTCCGAGAAAATACAACTCAAGAAAAGATAAATACTTTCTCTTGTATTTCTTTCATCTTCTTTTCTACCAGCGATGTTGGGATGCCATCTTCACTACTCTGTGCTTCAATTAACATACTCCACAATTCACCTGTAGTAAAATAACATGAATGCATCTAAATAAAAAAGATTTCCATGGTTTGTTAGTTCCATAATTTACCCATGGTAAACGTGAGTTGCTTAACCACGAGATATTCCCAACAAGGATGTGCATGAGATAAAGTCGGTCAATTAAAGAGACTTTTAGGATATTATACTGCACCTTCCATAATTACTAATCCTACAATAAAAGTATTTATTTATACTTCAGAGAGCTTATGTAAAACGATGAAACAATACCCATAAATTCCCGTGCTCGTCGAGCATTGAGAAAACCAGTTAAATTGATCTGCATCACTTTCGGATTCAACGATTTCTCCTCCAACTGGCTGAATACATATTCAATAACAACATCGTCTTCCAAGCCCAGGATATCATTCAACTTGGCAGTAATCCACGGTTTGAGCACGTCCAGATTCACTCGATCCATGCAGATCTTAACCTCACAAACTCACTCACGATCTCTTCAAAACATAACAATTAGTTTACAAATGAATACCACAGCCTACACTTTCATTTCTTCTCTCTTCAGAAAAATACCATCCAAACCCTTCAAACTGGTTAACTCAGCTAACTGTGCACCCTCTCTATCTATAACTCTTACGTGTTATTAAAAAGATTGAAAGATTATATATTAAAAATAGAAAGGAATGCTTCGACAAAAAACGATTACCTTCACTTTTTAATCTTGATTATACATTCAATAAAGAAACAAAATTATGAAACAGAGATGTGGTTGACCCAACTTGCGCGCGAACTTGCACAATAACGGCATTAATGGATAAGGATGTGATTGGTTGGACTTGAAATGTCCATGTAATTGCATCATCTCGAAAAGAAAATATTACCTTTTCGTCCAATGCTTCCTCGAAACGCATTTGCTTCAGTAATTTGCGCTCTTTATCAGTAAAGCGACTATCTTGCTCACTACTTGTTCCACGATAAAAGCCTGCATCAGCCATTTGATCTCTGTCAACTGAATATTTTTGACTGCTAAATGGGACGATTATTTGCGGTTTGAGTAGAACAGTTCTATCAGTAACGTTTCACTCACCAAAATACAGCGCAAAATTAAGATACACTGAAAAAACGTCGCCGTCATAACATTCAACAAATACCTCTAACACATGAACCATAAAGGAAAGAAAAAGAGCAAAAAGCAACAAGAGCTTTACATTGACGCAACTCACTAAAATACATAAAAATATATATTTAGAAGTTAAAGTACTACTAAATTCAAAAGTTATGAGGGACCACTCAAGATCTGTGATAACAGCCCCAAATATAAAACAACAATACTTCAGAAAACCTTCTGTATATATCACACCATACAATAGGAAATCCCACTTTTTCTTCTTTTTTTTTCTTTTTTGTTTTTTGTGATTATTCACAAATTCTACAAATCCGAATCAAAAAGACCAACTGGAGTCACGAAAGTTTCAATTGTCGATTTAGAGAGACTTGCGTCTAATTCTCCCACAATCTGCCACTGCACGTGTGGATCAAGCATATTTTGCAGATGAAGGTTAACAACGATGATAACTGATAGTACCATTCATCACAAAGATCCTCAAAAATCCTCCCTACGGATGGCCAGTAGACTTCATTGTTCAAACGTGAGTAACATTCCAAAGCAAACATAGAAGTGAAATAAAACGAAAGATGTGGAGGAAACATCGAAACAGATCAACTCTGGCCATCCAGCTTAAACACGTCACCAACGTCACAGTCATCCCCGCAGTTATATCCCTATGAAAACTTTGAACTACGTGAGAGATCGACTCACAACAGCAACAAGTTTTCGAATTCAGTGCTCAAACGCAATCAATGAATGTAGCTTCTAACATTGTGCAGACTCTGTAAATCGACAACTGAAACTTTCGAGTCCCTAATTATCCCACAACCTATTCGAAATCCTCCCCAGCACCGCGAGTATCCCAGACGGCCCAGCCTCAACCCTCCACCCTATTCCCACCAATTTCCACACATCGGACAAGAAATGGAAAGGTGGCTGGCCGTCCATCACTTTTCAGTGTTTCACGGCTCGTCCAAGATGAGTCCCAAGTTTCTCCTTTCGAGTCTTGGAGAAGTGGGCCTCGATCCTTTTAGATTTCGGGGAGGGAGGTGTAGGCGTTGCTGTATATATATATATGTATATATATATATATAATATACTAAGCTCAAATATGATAACGGCACAAAGTTATCTCCGCTGTCACATGCAATTCTTTCTAATGTTGGAGACGCAAAATGTGGTATTCATTAAGCTCATAACAAGCAGTCTTTCTCTTAAAATTGTTGGAATGCACAGAAACAGGAAGGTTTAGAAGTTTTTTATAAAAACTGAAAAACTAAAAAACTATAAAGAACTATAAAAATTATAAAGAACTTATAATCCTTAAAATCAGCAGTTATCATACTATTAGAACAATTAAAACAGTATGATAACTGTTGATTTTAAGGAAGGTTGTGAAATATGCAGAAACCTAATGAAAAATGAAATATTGGTTTCCCCTGCCTTCTGTTCTTTTCACTTTTTTTTCATTTCTTTTGTAGCGCGCAAATCCTTGGGTCTTGCTCAGTCTTCCTTTCGTCGTTAATCTTTGTTCTCCGATTTCTGTTTGTACCAATGCCTTCCTTTCTTTCATCATTACTTTCATCCCGTCCATAATTAGATTAAATGATATTCATGATTCATATTCAACAGATTCTATCGCACAATTATTTTAATTGAGGGTATTTTATCTGAACAATCTTTTATCAGTTCTGTCTTCTCTGTTCAACGTTTTTTCTTGGGAGTATTTTTTGCTTCCTTTAGTAATATTTCCACTTACTTAGCAAATGGTTGATAAGAAATAACCTGTGTTTGAGCAAGTGATTTTATTGTGTCCAGCGACATATTTCATAAAATCTTTCAATAAAATAAAAAAAAATTTTTTCCTTAAGAAAAGAATCTTTTCCTTCTTTAACCTAATTAATTCCCATTCAGTTGGTACCAATTTTCCCTGCAGTCCGACTTTTCATTATTCACAAATACCAAGCAGCGAGAGGGTAAGCCAATCTCTCCCATCAGACTTTTGTCATTCTGATAATATGATGAGCACCATGTATGAACTACAGAACCGAATGAAAAAAAAATTCTGCAACAGAACAGAGACATTGAACTTCATTCTTCACAGCCGTTGGAAATGGATTTTAAAAGAGAACTAGTCCATTTTCTTGCTCCATCTTTTTTTTTTTTGCAAGCAAGGAAAATCAAAAAAGCCGAATAAGCAAAAACGACCCCAATGAATCGCTTCAACAGTTTTTGGATTTTCGGAGAGAATGTTCATCCTTCTGAAACTTCTTTTATTGTAACCAAACTTTTTCCGTTTGGGTCCAAAATTTTGTAACTTCATACTCTTCGAATACTTGCACTCCAGCTAGAGCAGTTGCTAGAACAACGTCTAAAACAATGGAGATTCAGACTTACTCGACTCATGGGAATTTAAGAAGTCAAATGTTTATTCGCCCATTATCGCATACCAGAATGAACACAATAGAATGAGTTATAGGACAGTACGAATTTCTTCTGTTGATTATAGTAATTAACCAAAATTCACTAAATAATTTTACATGTAAAAGTTCCACAAGCAATGCCAAAATATATAAATGCTCACACATATACATGCATGCTCAGAAATGCTAACAGGAGCATGTTTTTGTAACACTTTTATAATATCAATTTCAGCGCCTTGGATTTCTAATTGTATTTCTTTGAGTCATAAATTTGATATTAACCTTGCTGTAGTCAAAGACTGATTTATACATCAACTTAATTCAAAAATAGAACCAATAAATAGCCTGAAGATGGCTTCCAAATTAGTATCGTTACAAATTGAAGTAAGAACTTCATAGCTATAAAATAAAACTTAAATTACATAATAATTTAATTACATAACAATTCATGAAAGAATTCAAGCACACTTCGTCACCATAAGTTGAGTGGAAAATCAATTACTTCCCAACATAATTCAAAAATTAATATCAATACAAGTTGTTTAGTACCAAATTTTTAGCCGAAAAATAAAAAAGAAATTAGGGAAATTTATAAAAGCAATGAAGAAGTGAAGGAAATAGCCGAGGTAAAGATTTCATAATCAAAAACTGAAAGGAATTCAATATATTTTTAGGATAGTGAGGGTAAGGTTAACATTAGGTCTGAAGAGATATTAAGAAGGTGGCCAACAGATACTACTTATTTTTCGTTACTTATTTGGTAATAGGAAGTAAGACAACCCATCTGCTAACATCACTCTTACATATTAGTGTACATTACGACACTTACAACAAATTTTTTTTTTTTCGTCTGCTCTATCAAAATGTTTACACCAAAACAAATGATAATTTATGTTTTTTTTGGAATAACAACTGCCTTGCCTTTCCAGAAGTTTGGTTTAGATTAGCAAGACGACAGCAATCCCACACATAATGATGGAAGCGTAAACGTTAAAATTCGGAGATATTTGACTGATTGGGAACTGTGAATTGTTAACTTCCTAATTGTTGATAACCTTTCACATAAAATTTAGTCAAAGCAGAATTATTCTCCGCCATCTTCTTTCATCTTTCACATAAAATTAAGTCAAAGCAGAATTATTCTCCGCCGGTCTTCTTTCATCCTTCCTTTTGTTTTATTACCTCGTTGCATTCAGAAAACTGCAGGATTTGTCACTAGTTTATCAAATCTTAAAGAAGAAAAAAAGTCGAAGGTCCACATATATTTCACAACAAAACGTATCCCAGCAACTGCATAAATTATCTATCGAGAAACGAATGCAAAGTCTAAGAATTGGTGATGCCAGTAACTACTCAGAAAAGCATTCCGCTTGTCAATTTTTAAAGAAAGTGATTGGAAAAAGTAACGAATAATTGCTTAATTATGTATAAGTTAGTGAGAAGATACAACAAGCAGTTAGCTTTGTTAAGTCTAAAGATTTCGATTCAAGAAACAAAATTACCTTATAATATCTCCTTTCGAAATTATTTGTCACATCCATGTTATCAAGTTTCAAGTGAACTAATCAAATTTAGAAAGTTTCCACTGAATAGAGTAACGTGGGTATAGATATGCAGCCCTTGTTCTTACGGTGAAAATATGATGGTAGTGATAACATCTTTAGAATGGACAAACAGAGAGAAGTGAAATAAAGAGCATTACGAAATAAGACTAAGTTAAACTAATTAACCTGCTAGTGATTTTCGACTTTTGGAATTTCCCACGGAAACCAATTTTCGATCAAAATATCCCTAAGAGCTATGGCGTGCACGGTAAAATGTTGATAACAGGAAGAACATAAAATATGAAGGATCTGAAAGCGGTCTACTCGGGCAAATGCCGGATTCTCCTCAAATTCTCCTTTCCAAATATCCAATGTATCCATTGGTTTGCACTGAAATAAGACTTTAAAGTTCTTTTCAAAAATGAAAGAAAAGTAATGTAAAGCATCCTATTGCTTGCCGACTAGTAAATTTTTAGCTTTTAAGATTTTCAGGTTTAAGATTTCATAAAGAAATAGGAACATATTAGTAAGAGTGGCAAAAATGAAATTATAGTTTCTCAATGTAGAATAAACTTGGCGTTTTCATCCAATCCCGAAACATCCCATCAACTGTAACCTATCAGAGAATATTTTCAGCAATAAGTGGTTGGATATGTTTTTTAATTCAGATATGAATCTAAAATTTTACTAGAAAACGTGAACATTTTTGAAAAGACTTACAACAATTGCAAAATCATAAGTGACGACTTCGTTGATACGCACTTTCCGATCCCGCAACATTTCCAGAATAGTTCTGCAATAGAAAGCATACAAAGCATTTACACACAAAAAATGCGTATATTTTTGTAAAAAAAAAATTGAAGAACCGCTTACAGGCACATAAAGTCCTAGGAATTAAGCAACGAAATCGAAAAAAGCGACTGAATGGCTTCTTAAAAAAAAGTTGGAGAATAAATTATTCATTCTATAATTTGAACTGTTGAAATTTCAAACTTGTCACACCTTATCAGACACGCTGCCAAGTGATCATTTATTTGTTACCTCTATTAGCTCATCACCCTTAATAGTTTACTCTCCAGTAAATTCAGACAGATGGGTTAACTCACATATATTCGTGATACTTTCACGACAACAAAATATTTACTGTAATAAAATGAAAAAAAAGCAAACCTGGAAATAGTAATTCCAGTAAATTTCTTAATAAGAACTCGCCGATCAGGAGTGCGTACAACAAATGAAAGGCGCTCGACGGAACTATCTACGTATGTACTCAACCTAAGCTCTTCTTCTTCATATTTCTGCTTACTAACAGCTACTTCCGGTGACTTTTGTGGCTGACCTTTTTCATTCGTCTTTAATCTGTGCAATGTCTTCGCTAACTTATCAATATCTTCCCGCATATCCCATAGTGTTTTTGTAGTGTGCGTTTGTTCTCTTCTTCTTGGCTTCCTCCAAATCTCGATATATCCCTTTTTCGAAAAGTTAGCATCCTCATTATTGGTCGGATTTCCTGCCGTTCCGCTAATGATTTTTACGTATGGTTTTCCTTTATTTGTTGCTTCGGCACGTATATTTATATTCACTAATTTATGAGATCGCCCATTTGAAGTTGAACTTAGTGAATGGCTGCTTTTGTAAAATGACAAAGTTGCAACTCGTCGAATTAATGTGAAACGGAGTGAAATTTTCAACATGCGATCTATTCTGAAAAGAGTTTGGGAAAAAAGTAATCTTAACCTACACGGTACAACCAATGCATCCAAATTTCTTGAAAGAATTTGCTCAACGGTAACTAAAATTTAAGAAATAAAAACCAAAAATCAAGTCTTCGTTTGTTAAAACAATATAACAAGTAGAACAGTAAAGAAAATTTTTAATGATATTAGAGATTCAAAAAGTCAACGAATACGATTTTTAACAACGGAAAACAATACATAAAAAAGATTGTTTGCAAGTTCTTATGGATACAATTGACCGTATCAAGAAAACACTAGAAAATTCAAGTGAATACAACAGAATTTCAAACATGTGTGCCACAATAAAAATTAGTAAAAACTTCATACTTAACGAATAAAAATTAGTGGGTGGTAGGGTCCGGCGAACAGCACTTGATTTTTCCGTCATTTAAAAATTTTTTGAAATATAGTACCACTTGTATTTCCAATCCATTTTTATAGGCAGTCATCGTACTCTCTGGCAAGTCCTCTAGAAATGATATCCGAACTTTTCCACTTTTCCCGAATGCAGATTCTAAACGACCTACCTCACCAGTAGAAAGATAAACGTTCATTTTACAGTATGTATCAACGTTCGTTTCTTTCTTGAACAGAGAATTGCAAATTATGCTTCGTTCATTTTCGATTCGTTCAACTTTTCCAACTTTTTTCTTCCGCCGAAATCGACATATCTGTCTTTCGTTATTAAGCAATTTCAAAAATGTGCCATAGAAGACAAACCGACAACCTTTACCTTGGTAATCTAATCTGGATGTAATAAAAAAGCTACCCTCTTTTGTGTATACAAATTGTTCCAAGCTGAGTATTGCAAACTTTACAGTTTCATCCAGTTCCTGTACCACTTCATAATGATCCTGTTCTTCGGGAAGTGCTGAGGCTAAGAACTGACACTGTCCAATGACAGTATCGAAACCAGTTGAAACATGTAATTTGGAGCCCTGACGAAGAATTCCTTGGAAATGGACTACCCGATTTACACTGACCAACAAGAATTGCACACGGTGCAGTGTTCCTGGTTCATATATAATCGTCCGATTGATATCTTTGCCAGAAACATTGTGGAATAATAGAGCTGCTCGATCTCCCACTCCTGCACTACACACATCTTCTTTCCAACGTTGCATACTTTTGATTTTACGCTTTTCCTGTAAAGCTGCTATTTCTACGTCCATTCCAACTCTAAAATATGGTATCGCCATATTCAAAGATTTTAACACTCTATTTTTCACTCTATAAAATTTCTTCTTTTGAAATTCTTGCGATCATCCTTTCATATAATTTCTAGGATGGACAATATTTAACCAAACATTTATTGTGTATGTCTCAAATTGGTATATGATATTAGTGATTGTAGTAAGTAGTAGAATGAGTTCGGAAAATCTGAGAGTTATTTAAAATGATTGTAAAAGTTCAACCAAAAAAAATTTACTTGCATATTCCATCGACAACAGTGCCTGTCATTACTGTGCCTTTGCCTTTAATAGAAAAGCAATGATCAATAAACATCATGAAATGACCAGAAGAAACTCGTTGAGGTGCGTATAGAGCCAAATGCAAAGCATTCATTAATGCCATAACCCCTTCCTCTTTATACTCCATTAACGATATTGGTACAACTTGTAAATTTGAGTTTATCTTCAAGCTAGATGCTACCTTTCTGCAGCGCCTCGTCATTTGCTCCACTGTTTTCTTGTCTACTAAATCAATCTAAAACAGCAAAGATTCTCACCAAAAATAATTCCTTGCATAGTTATTACTTTAATGATGTTGCAATTCGAAAGATTTCCGACATAGAAAAGTCAGTTAAATTATTTGATTTAAATCCAGTATCCAATTTCTTCCATTCTGTGGTTGATTTTTCTTTTTTTAAATGAATAAATGAAATCCGGGTGGAATAGCAATATAGCAAATGGTGAAATTTTAGTAGCAAAATTTCGCAAACGAAGTATTTTCCAGGATTTAACTAGGATAGGGTTCAGCAATCCACATCTTGAAAATAGAATTTTGTGCATAACCTTCACTATGATTGTCTTAGACAAAAAAAGAAACATGCCTAAAGCCCATTTCAGTATTATTGCTTATGGTTTACAGTTCATAGAAATCATAATGGCAAATTTTAAACCATCTAAATTTAATGATCAACCTTGTTAATGACAAGAATAACATGGTCTGGACAGAAAAGCGATACAAGGAGGAGATGTTCAGCGGTTTGTTGTTCAATTCCTTTGCTGCTATCTATCACAACAATTGCCATATCAAAAACTGATGACGCTGCAAGCACTGACCTGGCAAGAACGGAAAGCTTCAAACAGATTCCACATTACTCACAGTAAAAAATAAGCATGGAAATAACTAATTCCCCTTCATTTTTTTTACAACATTTTCTCATGTCTACAAATACTAAGTACTCTTTTCAAGGCATCGTTACACATATTTGAATTATAATTAAATAATTAGTTTGCTTACAAATTTCAGACAAAACTAATGTATAGCACCTGATTAATGACGCATGTCCAGGACAGTCGATCAAAGCAATTACTGTTCCATCGATAGTCAATGTAGAGTAACCGAGATCGATTGTATTAGCTCGAAGATTGGAGGTTTTGGCATGTTTATCGAATGCAGCAGTCGAACCCATTGTGGATAATGCCTTCGCCAAAGTTGTTTTGCCGCAGTCTACATGTCCCAGTATACCAACGTTTAACGATTTTGTTGCTGCCAGTTTGTTTAACTGAACTCTTCGTTAATTATTATATTCCAAATAGGACCATATACATATGGTACCAGAGATACACAAACATTAATATTCAGGGACTTCTGAAAAAACGGAAGTCGGTTCGAAAAGATAACTGTAGAGTAACCGAGAAAAAAAAGGATTCAAAAAGACAACTACTTTAAGCAATTTCAAGTTTTAAACCAGAATCTTGAATTGCAATTCAAACGGCTGATTCCATAACTGTGATCTAAACTCGCAAAAAGTATTATTAATCAAACTGCTAATGTAAAGTGAATGAGAGACGTGTTTCAAAAGAATTTTATGATTATGAGATGTGAAATGTAACTGTAATGTTCTAAAAAAAACTATCCAGATAGTTGGAAAACAACTTAGTGTCTAAAATTATTCTCTGAATTAAAGAATAAAGTAATGTCTACAACTTCCCGTAAAAAATGATTGTTTAAGACACATCTCTGCATTACAAAGCCTATTATAAATCAAAAATAGCAAGTCTTATTACAGTATTTGCGTCATCAAAAGCGACACAGCATGCATACTTAAGAAATTCATGATGTGAAGTATCAAAATATCCAGTTCAATTCATCAGCAGAGTAGAGTGATTAATGGTCAGAAGTCAGATGAGCTAAATGATAGAACTGGAAATACAAAATCAACAGAGGATTAAAAACAGTTCCGACGAAATTTTATTGCTTTACATATGTAAAAAAATCATGTGACATCTAGGCCAGGGGCAATTCGAAGTTTCAAGATTCCACTACATACTTTATCTTATCCATACTGGATGCCACAAAGAAGTTCATAATGATTAAAAACAACCCAGGACAAAAAGTTCAGAATAATACATCAAAATACCCAATAAATTAAAAACCGTGCGTTTTTTACTACCTTCTTGTCACGGATAAATAATATATTTTTGCAGAGTCTTCTGATAATATTTCGAAACCCTAAATCATTCTGTTATCACTGATTAGTTACAACATCAGCATGGAAATTATGAACTTATAAAATTATAGAAATAATAAGCCTGATTTCCTCAATAAAAAATGAATAGAACAGTAAAATGGACATAGGACTAAGAAAGATCTCACCAAGCCCATCTAGAAACAAAGCGAAACATTGGGAAAGAAATTTTATTACGTCGAAGTAAAATTAGATCTAGAAAAAGGAATGCACAAAAAAAGGAATGTTAACGTTGAAGTAAAATTAGATCTAGAAATTCAAACAGTTCTAGATGTAACAATGAAAATGGAAAAAGGAATGTACAAAAGCGTAATGTTTGAATTTCATTTAAAAGCATGAAAACGATATCCCAAACTCGTGCTTTCGAATATAATATTTCAGTATTGGAAAGCACAAATGTAACTGAACAAAGGTATAATAATAAGTTGACGCCAGAAACAAAATACAATGAAAAATTGATATCGGAACTGAAGTTGACCGGTTTTGCCTCTTCACCACAAGAATTAGAAAATTCAGGTTAAGCGATGAACGAAAAATGAATTTCTTTAATGCGTGAAAACTTCGATCAATTCACTAATACTCACTGTGATAGATAACCATTTGGATTCTTTATCTGCCAATTCCACAAATCAGAACACATCTCTTCAAGGTCATATTGACATTTCCAGCCAAGCCTCTTGGCAGCCAACAATGGATCGCAATAAATGCAGGCTACATCACCTGGTCTAGGATGACCATTTTCCGTTTTTATCTGCAATTTTAAAATTTTAAGCTGAAAATAGAGGAAAAGAAGACAATGGTAACGGACCTGCCCTAACCAAATAATCAATTAATGATAAATTCACTTGTTGTCCACTAGCTTTCTCGAAAGCGGCAACCATCTCTAAAACTGAGCATCCTTTTCCAGTTCCAAGATTATAAACTTCACAACCAGATTTTTGCTCTTTATTTAGATGATCAAATGCTGCTACATGCCCTCGAGCTAAGTCCATAACGTGAATGTAATCTCGTACACCGGTCCCTGAAGTGATAAAAATTCAAATCTTTTTCTTAAAAATCAAAAATAAACCCATGCCGACAAAAAAAAAAAGAACTAGTGGATGGTTTCTGGTGTTTGCACTACAACAGCTGAAAAGTTTTACTGCCCATTCACTCTTTCCCGAAAAATGGCCATATAAAGTCACATTACCATCAACAGTATCAAATTCGGTTCCAAATATGTATAAGACTGGTAATTTTCCAATGGCCACTTGGCTCATGTAGGGCATCAGGTTGTTTGGGATTCCTTTCGGATCTTCACCAATGAGACCACTAGGATGAGCACCCACGGGATTAAAATATCTTAGAATGATTATATTCCAGCTCTAAAATTCAAATAAGATAATTCACATAGTTAAGACAATGCAGTCAAACAGATTTATTTGATGTCAAAATCGAAATTTTTCCATGAATATTCAGTGAGCTAATTGCATCAACTTTCTTTGCCAAAATAACTTTGATCAGTTAACTCTCACTTTATCGGCGTTAGCTAAATCCATCAAAATTCGTTCAATCATATATTTGGTATGACCATAAGGATTGGTAATCCCACATCCCACTGGATCAGTTTCTTTAATCGGTAAACTTTTTGGTGGTCCATAAACAGTTGCACTGCTTGAGAAAACAAAGCTTTTGACATTGTATTTTCCGCACAGCTGTGAAATAGTTTTTAAATATATTCAAAATTAGTAATCAGGAAGAGTATTTCAATGGAAAACTCGGAGAAGTGTTGTTCCAGATATAAACCAATTCAGTATATAAAACAGTATGGAGGATGTACTGATCATAGCTGCATGCAATGACAAATCATGTAATGACAAAATTAACGAAAAAATACCTTGAGTAAAATCAATGTAGCAATGAGATTATTACTATAATAATCAAGAGGTTTTTTTACCGATTCACCAACTGCTTTCCAACCAGCTAGGTGAACTACACCACTAATCGAATACTGCAAAATAAATGAAAAGCAGCAATTACTGTATCTATTTCTACACCTGAGAGGATGACTTGTTAAACATATTTGTTAAAAACTGTTTTAATAGTTAAATATGGATAATCAAACTCAAATAAAAAGAAACCTTTTCAAAAACAGCCTCCAGTTGTTTCTCGTTGCTACAGTCAGCAAAAACAAATGGCACCTCTTTATTTATAATTTCTGAGACACGCTTCAAACTGACCGCATTCCCCTCGTTATCTTCAAAAAAAGACATTGTTAATAAAAGCATAAAAGGAAAAACAATCTTAAAGAAGTTAATTCTGAAAATGGAACATGACATACTTCCAAAATTCCGGAAACAATTTCAAATTATTCGACATGTGCTTGCAAATAACTTCTTTAATTTCTTACTTAATCTAGACGGAATTTCTAACAGTGCATACTGCAGCGAATAAATGAACCTTGTACAGAATTCGAGAAATTATCGATACAGATGACATCATATCCAGCGTTCAGCAATTCCAACACAACATGGCTTCCAATAAAACCGGCAGCTCCAGTTACTAAAATTCTCATTACGCGAAAAAATAGTCCTGAAAGAATCACTTAAATTCCTCATCCTTCTAGCCACAATGCAAATATAAATCTCGTCAACAACTCATAGCCATCAGTTATTTCAACAAGAAATTTATGATTTCAAGGTCATGATTTGACATGTCATATCCTACCCCCCTCCATACCTGTCTTCAAGCAAAGAACGAACAAGTTGATTGTGACGTCCTCACTGATCAATATACCAACACTTTCTCATGGGTGACACACCTTCTGCATCAGTATTCAACTGTCAACAACATGTAAGATTAAACGATGGCACACCACCATCAAAATGATGTAATTAACGTGTTAATTGCAGGAAAGACCACAATGAAGACATATAACCCAACGGTATTCAATTTTCTTGCATTGGATCCTTTCTGGACATCAATTAAACAAGCAATAGTAAAAATTACTTATCAGTTGTATATTATGCATTTCAATGAACATTTTATATACAGGAAGAAATAAGTATTCTTATTGGTCGCAACGTGACTATCACTTGGTGTATGTTAACAACGAACATCCTTGGCATTTTAGCGTAGAGATTGAGCAAACGAGCTCAAATACGAATGGAAAAAAGAAACTGAACAAATAAGTACAAGCATTATAGAACTATTCATTCTAATTCCACTCTCAATTCTTGGATCTTTTATTTTTAATTTTATTCCTTGTTTATATCTTTTTCTTCAATACACTTTTTGTTCTCATCAAACACATTTCAAACAAAATCAAATTATTGCCACATGTTGGTTCGTAAACTTAAGAATGATACGTCCAGTCAGGCACAAAATCAGCCATCATTTGCTGAATAGTTAGCTCACGACTAACTACATCTTTATCCAAAATTATGACGTCAGAATCTGAATTAAGTTTTATTGTTGTTGCATCTACAGCAAAAGTATTTCGTGATTCCTCTTGCTCCGCTAAAGTGTACCCTATTTTCTCCGATATTTGTTCTTCAAATACAATCCCTAATGTTCCCGAGGACTGCGAACTTTCAATCCTTGAAGAAAACATTTCTTCGTCATTTTCGGAACCAATCCGTACATACTTCAAGGTTTTTCTTCCTGCTGATGAGTATGTTCGCTTTCGAACAGTATTTTCCGCTGATACCACTTCAACATTTGCACAATTCTCCACAGGAACATTACTAAAAAGTACATTACTGACTGCAGCGCTGTTAGATTGCACTTCTGAGTTCTTTGGCATAGCTAACGAATTCTGAGAACCGCCGAAATGTATCTGCTGGTCATCCATCACAATATCATTCAACTTCTTCAACAAATTTTCTTGGGAAACCATTATTTGAATACGCGGTCGCGAAATGGAAGAACACAGCGCTCGGCCAAGACGTACTTCATCACACCAAATTTCGCTGCCATTGAAGATGCTTTGTGCAATCTAAGAGAGAGTAATGAATGCATTAATTTTATGACACTGAAAATGAAAGCAGAAATGAATAATAAGTCAATTCTTTCAATAATAACCTGTATAGGTGATGGCACCAATTCATTATTCATAGCTAGCAGTGAATTTAATAGTGAAAGCGCCGGCCTACAGTTTCGATTTTGGAAAGCCTCCTGACAAACTAAGTGCTGCAGCTCTATCACATCCCGAATGTCCAATAGATATGGTCTTAATTCCAACATTACACTAAGTGCTTCAGCGTATGCTTTTCCGTATTCCTGAAACTGGTGAAACAAATCTTACTGGAAATAAAAACTATTTGAAGGCAATACCGCAGAGTATAATAGACCGGACTAATTCTAAGTAAATCGTCATTTAATATTTAAAGACCAAAATACTATAATGGAGTACCTGTGAGTGTAATTGACAGCGGGCAGAACGAATAAGGGTTCTAAAAAGAGCATTAACACTCAGATCCGGTCCCAACTGAACATATTCTTTTACTGCTTCGTAATATGCTTCACTTGGTTGACAGAAATCGTTGATAAATGAGGAAATCCTTCGTACAACAAGATGTGCGCAGCTTTTCGCTTTTAACAGAAAAGTCTTTAACCATCGGAAAATAGAACTTAATTTTTCGGCTTCAACAACAGTTGCTGATTCATATGCGATATCCAACCACTCGTTTATAGCAACTTTGTCATCTGAAAATCAGGTAAAAGATATGAAAGTATCTTTATGTTGCACTGATAGAAGTAAATTTTTGACTAAATCTGTTTATGTCAAGTTCTGTATGTTAATAGTTAGCAAATATTGAACTACGTTGCTGAAATATCCAATCAAATCGTTGAAAAATTCAAAGACAAACAAACCAAGAATGACGTCAATCACAAACATATGTAATCCCATTCTAAATAAAAATATGGTAAACAGAAAACATGCCAGCTCATATAGTTTCCAAGAGACATATTCTCTAAAAATGCGCTTTGCACAACTCTGTAGAAAACATCAAAGTAATACCTGGCGAAGACCTTTTCATCACTTCTATATGCAGATTGAATATTGCAGAAATAAACTGCGGAAGGTATCGGTGTACAGCTGTCTCAAAACGAAATAGTACCTTCTCGTTTTCATCCTTTTCTTCAACAATCATATTATTCAACATATTTTTCAATGTTTTTAGCAAGATGTAGTCATACTTCGTTCCGGCCCATAATGCGTATATGTTGGAAGTGAGCCTATAACAACAACGCATAACTTCAGGTAATGAAACAATGTATTAAAATGTCAATAAATGGATAAAATCAATTTAACGTTAACATGATTAAGCTCAGATTGAAAATAATCAAGCATATTGCACCCTGATTTTTATCGCAGTATAATGCAATGAAAACAGCTGTGCTAAAGTTATATATACTCAAAAATTATAACATTTCACAGTCTCCTCATAACATGCAAAACCTTCATAACAAAAAATCAAATTTATAAGTATCCGAACCGAATAAAACTAAAATATCTACCTGATGCTGCTTTCTGAACAACTTTCAACACTGAAATCCACAGAACGTGAACAAATATAAGCTAAAGTTCGTTCATTGAAACTTTTGAGCCAATGAAAACGAACAAGGAATGAACGGACAAAGTGCAACAGGGGAACCGTAACTGGTTGTCTGGCAGCAGCAATCAACTTTTTCTAGAATGAGCCCATTGGAAAAAAGGAGGAAACGATTTTCAACAATTATTTTTTGTATCATCTACTCATGATTTCCGTTTTCCATTCAGCACATGCCAAAGCAAAACGCAACAACTAGAATTGAAACAAAAACTCCAAAGTACCTGAATTCTAGATGAAATGGTTCTCAACATCTCTGGATCACAAGCATAAACTAATTTTGCAAGCAAAGCCCAACCAAAAGGATCTTGTCCCGTCAATTTTCCACATTCTTCCACCAATGGGAGTAATTTCATGCGTAATTTGATTGGATCCGTGAGAATTTCAAGCACATGCTGCACCCTTTGGTGTTCCATTATTACTGGAAGCTTCAGTAACGCAATTTTTCAGTTAATTTAAACCTTCATCCAATGATCATCCCCGACTATTCCTTGAAACAATACTCAATCAAATGATTGCTCAACATACTGAATGAAACGATGACTTTCTGTCCCTACTCTAACGGTTGATTCCTCATTTCATCATATTTTCTTGTTGAAAATGTATTCGAAGAATGCCACATCACTAACAAATATAACTATGGATTCTAAATATTATTGTGATGATAAAACCAAGGAACATGGAAAGGTCGCAGAATGAAGAAAAACTTTATTTACTACAATGTATACAAAACTAAAAAGTAAGGGACCCAAACAATGTTAAAACAATGCACACAAATTTACACTACTACTTTCCCTTAAACAATACTCGACTTCTCTTGGGCGGCTCTTTTACGGGAAGCCCGTTTCAGTAACCGTCTTTCTCGCTCGAATTCTTTCATCCTCAAGATATGATCTTCGTATTCACAGTTTTGCCATCCATGATAATCATCTATGCAATAATAATGCGAAAACGGAGCATACTGTCGCTAAAACATCAGGCATTAAAATATTGCAAAAACCACTGATTTTTTTTTGTTACAAGGAACTGTGGCAAATCAGTATTACCGCCAGTTTTGTGCCCTCTTATATATTTCTTCACATATGCATAGAATTAATCTGAATTTTTGAAAGGAAAAAAGTGTGAAGATTTACGAATAACCAAGATCAAATTTTGAATGTGTTTTTTACTTGCCCTTGCATTCATTTTCAAGAATTCTTACATATCGTAAAAAATCGAATGGAAGAGTGAAAAAGACTGCATACAACTTATTCTGCAGTACTAATTAAAGTCTCACCGTAAAAATCAGGATTGTCCTAATCATACGCCAGTTAAGCCAAATGTTCTATAAAGCATAACAACCTGGCACTTTTTGAGATTAATCAGTAGGTGAGCGCAGTAATCACGATCGCCGAATTCCAGCTTCCAGTGATCCATTTCCTCCCACGTTGTTTTCATTTCACGCGGTTTTCGTCCTTTAGGAAATCCATAGAGTGGATCGAAAGTGGGAGGTCGATCCGTTCGAGGTGAAACTTCTGGATCTTCCAGTGATACAGATAATCGAGTACCCATTCAGCCTTTTACCATTAACTGCATGAAGGAAAAAAATAAAGAGGTTGAGTAGTTATATTCACTGAAGCAGCTGAAATCAGTCCAACGAGGAAAGCGTTCGAAAGAATGGCAACAAATCGCACAGAACAAAACGCGACTTTAGCACTATTTTCTAACTTTGCAATTTTTGCCGATATATAGGAGGGGATCGCCCAGAAATAAGAGATATTAGAATTCATTAGTCTTTTATACATCCAAGTATGGCTGTAATGAACAGAAATGAAAGCTGTCGCAACAACAAATATATGTTTGGAATTCTTGGACTCCACAGCACACCAATAAACTCCATTAATCGATCATAACCTCCATTAACCGCTGTTTTTAGAATGGACTAAACTGACAACAATAAGGTTACTCTGTCTACGGAAATCGAGAATTACCTGCTGAAAACGGTTAACCCATATCGTTTCGACTTGTATTTTCTAGGAATCCTAAGTCAAGACCTACGCTATAACGGCGATCCCCAGTAACATCAATTCTTAACTTCCTGCTGGGGTCCATCAACTGGCGCATCGCTCTGTCAACATTTGATCGCATTGTTCTACTTGAAGTTGATGCATCTATTCCATTGAAGAGTTACTTTTAACCATTTCGCCTAAAGCAACTTAATTATTCTCAATATCACTATCCCGAATGTGAGTACCAGTAACATCAATTCTTAACTTCCTGCTGAAGTCTATTCTATTCCTCAATCAGCCCACCGCGGACAATTTCAGCTCTTCGAGAAGATTCGACCAACACACAGACCTCTGATTTATTTTCGACTGTTCACAGCTATATGGGTTGATAGTAAAAGAACCCGTTTTATGGATGGTTCCTGCGATTTGTAGCAGGTAATAATGGAACAGAGCCGGAGCCATTTTTGCACATGCAGATGGTCCTTTTTAACTTGAAATATGCTAACGTCTTGCAAACGATTTGTCGAAAATGTGATGGAATTACTGAATATCGATCACAGCGTCACCACTTTTATTTACCCTACATCTGATCTTACCCTCCATCCTTTGGAAATTGCTGGCTACACTCCCCTATTATTTCTAATTGCAAAAAGTTATTATATCCGCAAATCGCAAAAAGTTTTATATCTCATACAAGTTCCTGTATGAAAAATAAAAACAGAAATAAAATGAACGACACAAGACATCACGACGGATACCTTATACATATGCAAATTTACAACTTATACAATTCGTGCGTTTTCTAACACTTGCACTGTCAGATATTAAGGCTAAGCTGCAATCTAGTGTGAACTTAGGTCCCGAAGACATGACTAGTAGTCCCCACACGGGTTACATAAGACTGACAAGACAATCAAAATCATACCTCATTTTCACTATGAGACTGGCGTAGGAGGGCAGAGGGCAGAGGCCACCTTTACAGAGACGATTTGCTACAACTTTCCACCTCGGTGTGGAATAGTGGGGGAGTGAGTAGTAGAATTGGGACGTCGGGAGGAACTTCTCTCGTTGTGTTTGTATCGGTATATATATATACATAATATTAAGAAGATAAGGGGGATGAAATGCCGCTGGTTTAAAAAGCTTGAAATGCTTATTTTCCTATTTACTCGATTTAAAGTAACTGAGGCATTCAGAAAATCGATATCCATCGTCAGGCTTCCATCTGGTATTTAACTCGACAGTTGGTATCAAACTTGCATGAATCTTCGAATTTTTACATGAATTACAATGCCACTCTGGTCGTAGTAAATCTGATGAACTTGAGGCGTTTGGTGCTGTCATTCCTTGACTTTTCTTCCGAGGTCCTTTAAATGTCAAGGATGAGAAGTCGAATGTCTGTTTCATTCTTTGGCCTTGGCTTTGACATTATCCAGGAACAAATTTATCCAAAGAGCTGGTCGAATATTTCTAGCATGCCTACATTTTTTCTATTCATGCATTGATCTTCCTTGCGAAGGAAATTATTGTAATTAAAGCAGTCACATTGTTTCAGTGTTCAGCTGATTAGTAGGATAAAAGGAAACTTAAAAAATAGACTGGGAAACTGGAGTTACTGATAAGGTGACAGGGGATACTAAATTGGAGACAGGAAAAATGTACTTATATTATCTACATCATTATCCGTGCTGAGTAATATTATGTCATTCTGATCAAACTAGGTATTTTGAATGGGTCAACTAAAAGGGTCACATTTACGGTCATTCTCGTCTTTTCAATTAGTGCTAATAAAATTATTCCGTTCCACAGCAAATTATTCCGTTCCACACGATATCTTTTAGATCTGTATTTCAGGTTAGGCACTATGTTGTGGTACTCGTAAAGTGCTTGGTTGTGTGTACTTTCTATTTTACCCGGTTTTCTATCTCAACAACATGTGTGTTGCTTCACTTTTATTTATCTCCAATCTATTACTTGGTGAGTGATCTTACGTCATTGTTTCTTTTTCGATTAATTATCAACTCTTTACTGAACAATACATACCAGTACATTGTATTGCAATCTAGTAACAATTGGTACCATCACTGGGGCTTTGGTGCGTGATTACATAACTGATGAGAACTTATTCTTCAATACCAACTTATTTTGTCGAGTTTTGTCCTCTCAGTAACACTGTACACATGTTGAAATACCATTAGAGAAGCTCTGTTTTAGGTTCATCCCTGCTATCCAATGCATTTTCAGTAGGCGGTTTAAGCAAGTACGTAGATTGGTATGAAACACTCAGTTATGAGCCATTGGCTGGTCGCAGGAAACGATCACCTGATGGCATGTATGCACCTCTTACTCTTCAATTCACTTCACATAACAGGTATGTAATACTATCTTTGTTCGTCGGATTTATAATTAGTTGGACTGTTAATATATCGTGTTTAATTTTCTGTTTTACTATATATATTTGATGTCATTACAGATCATTCCATTTGATTCTTCGTTCATTGGACGACAGTACCAATGTGTTTAGCGACAATTTTATTTTTGACGTCGACGGGAAAGACGAGCACGTACCAATGCGAGATTTTTTGGTGCACGGCCATGATAAAAGTGAGCTTCATGCTTTGTCGACGGGTTGTATGTACTACATTTTAAGAAAGGTTATTTAAAGATGTGATTGTGAGCAGTAATAAGTGACGGTAAATAGTAAATATATATTCATTCTCCCTTTCATGTTTAGTTTTTCTCTCATAATGCCAAATTTATTTCAGATGATCCAGAATCCATGTTATATGGTTCATTTCGTGATGGAATCTTTGATGGACATATAATTTATGGTAATGGAGAATCCTATACCGTAGACAAAATCGATCGATATTTACATTGGAAGCATAGACCAAAATATTTCCATTCCATTATTTATTCAGGTGGATTATCCTTCCTCACTGCATAGCCTGTAGTAGCTTTCCATCTTAAAAATTATGATGGTCGTGAGATAAGTATGGAAGTCAGTTTTATTTGGTAAAGCACTGCTTGGATACTACTGAATGAGAATCACGAATCCTATATTGCTGTTCATTCATTGTTTAGATAGTTCAATTAATTTTTGGAAGCAAAGAAAGAAACGTTCAGCGGAGAAAACCAATCAGAACTGCGGGTTAGATCATACAACGCAACAGAAAATGGAAGTTTTGCAGAATGGCGTTATCTTTGAGGATGAAGGAAAAGAGCAATCCTATCGAGATGGTGCATTTGATGAACGGTTTCTTATCAATCATTGCTATTATTTCACGTCAGGTTTAACCTAAGTTACTAGGAACTGATAAAATATGAGATTTATGGAGTTTTCTATCAACAAGCAAGCCATAATTACGTTCAAATTTTAACTGGAAAGATTTCAGATATATATTTGAATCACGATTCAAACGAGCTGCCGAAGAAAAAAACATTAAAACAATTAACGGCAAGCGCATTTATTCCGTTAGGTCAGCAAAACTTGTTCGCCATAATGTAATCCCTTTTTTCGTGATTAAAATAGCCATGTGTTGTGCTTGTCCTGCATCGAAGCAATACCGAACAATTTTAGAGCTTGCTATGTATATCTCCAGGCAGATCAGAAACTTTACCAACATGTTTATGAAAAAGAAGGAAATATGGATGACGTCAGGCATGTTTGGATGTATTTTTTTAGTAGTGAAGCTTTGGTTTGTTAATTCCTTTAATTTCTTTAATTCTTTGTAAATCATTTTTTTAGTAAATTTGGTGAGTAAAATTTCATTTTTGAAGGACCCGGGAAGAGATTGCAAGTCTTTTTTACAACCATATCAAGGCAGTGAATCAAATTTATGAAAGTACGAGCTTTGGTGGTATTAATGGCATTACATTTGTTATACAACGAATCTCGGTTTGTTTATTCCATTCACTGTTTACAACTAATTTTAAAACATTAGCAATTTATTTCATTTTCATCTGTTTTTGTGGTTTTATTAGATTTAAGAATTTTGTGAAACTGAGTTTTTATATAATTTTTCAGCTTTATACTCCGAACACTTGCAAAGATGGCAGACCAAAAGGCATGTCTCAGGAAAACCCGTTTTGTGAAGAAAATGTCGATGTATCGAATTATTTAAATCTTAATTCTCGCAAAAATCACTCTGATTTTTGCTTAGCTTATGCATTCACATTTCGCGATTTTGTAGGCGGTACTCTAGGTCTTGCTTGGGTGGCCAGCCCAAATCACAGTAAGTTCCTCTCATTAATAGTACATTGCATTGAACCGTTCGGTGTTGAGAAACTTGTATTCGTAAATATTTTATCTCTTTTTCAGCAAGGCAAGATTTCATTTGCAGAACATATAGTTGATGGAGGAACGTTAGTGAATTATGGTAAACGTGTTATGGTTGATGGAATGAAGAGTTCAGGTGTTTGGGTAATAAAATATTTTCAGATACAGCTGGTGGTATATGCCAGCAATATACAAAGTATAGCGAGGCATCAAATTTTGTCTATCGTTCACTCAATACAGGTATAATTACATTAGTAAACTATGGTAATCGTGTCCCAAATCGGGTGTCGCAACTAACTTTGGCTCACGAAATCGGTCACAATTTTGGATCTCCGGTAGACTTTAATTTTCATTACATGTTTATCCCGTTTTTTTGTCTCTTTTTTCTGACCAGTTTTGCAACAGTGCCTTCCTAACATGCTTGAAACTTTGGAGATATCCAACTGAGATAACAGATGCATTTAAACATATAATGCATTTCAATCACTAGAATGTAAAAGTAGTTCCTATCAGTTTAAGCATTTTATATTTGCTAGATATGCATCCTTGCAATCACTATTTATGGAATATGATTTCGATTTGCTTTTTTAAGTAATTTATTTTTCTAGCATGACTATCCCCTGGATTGTCAGCCAGGATTACCGGATGGAAACTACATCATGTTTGCTTCTGCAACTTCTGGGGATAAGAAGAATAATGCGCAGTTTTCAAATTGTTCAATAGCAAATATTACTTTAGTGCTTACTGAAGTATGCTTTAAAAACAAAATTCATATAATTGAATCATTTGGAAAATTTTAGCCATATATTTTGCAAGATAGCAAATAAGGAAATACAAAATGTTTTGGATTGAAAAAAAATGGAATGTGAAGTAGCTCATATGATATCAGGTTCTGCAACAGCGACCAGTTGACAGCGAAACTACATTACGGATGGGTGGTTTCGGTAACGTGGGTGCGGGGAAGCGAAACTGCTTCAGAGGTACACCCTACTTTTTTATTGTGTTTTTTCTCTGTTTCAATTTATTTTGGGTGCTCTGATTATATAATAATATATCTACTTTGTTTATAGAAGCAAAATCGTCTTTTTGTGGAAATCAAGTAAAGGAACCTGGAGAAGATTGTGATTGTGGATACAATTCCGAAGACTGTCAGACAATGAAGGATAACTGTTGTAATCCTCGT